TTTGTTTTTGAAAGAAAGTTTTTGAGGGTGAAGACTGCAAATCATTTGCTTCTTCTGTTTTCAGTTCATTAATTGAAACTTCTGGAATTGAACTTAGTTAGCCTAAGAGGTAAACGTATAAAAATATCAGTGCACCTAGTATTTGCTCTGTTCTAGATCAGCTCTATTTGGTCATTATTCCCAACAAATATGCACTCAACTAGTGATTTAAATCTTATAACAATGAGGGCATCCAGAGACAGATAATTTTCATTTACAGGTGAGAAAACTAAACTGATATGGGGAACAAAGGCAAAAGAAAAAATTAAATTTCTTTACAGCTTACAGTCCATTAACAAGCCCTTGAAATAGGCAGAGTGACCTTCCTCTAGGAAATCAGCTGCCTCGATGTCAATACTTTGCTAAGGACAAAAGGCAATTCTTCAGCTTAACATTATCCTGACCTACAGGATCCTATAATTCTACTTTATCTTGTAGAAATTCCTTTGGAAACTTCCTTTATCTGTACCATCCAAGATAATTGTTAGCAATCATCTTCCAAGCATGTGGCCCACTGATGTACATCTGAAGGGGCTCATGACTGAAGTTTTATTAGACAGTAATAAGTAACTTTTTCTGAACAATAGCTAGCCTCCTCAAGGTCCTGGGAACGTTGCTTCCAAAATTCCTTAGAAACTTAGCCTATCCCTACCCCCTTCCAATTTGAAAGTATATAATCGTTTCTCACAACCACAATGCAGCTCTTTGGCCACGAGTCCTGTCTTTGATAAAACCACCTTTTTGCACCAAAGACACTCAAGAATTCTTTCTTGGCCATCAGCTCTGAACCCCAACATTTTCACATCATAAATAACCAGGAATTTTGTCATGTGTTTTAAGTAAACTTCACAAGCTTGAAGATTACTTGCAAAAGAATCCAACATTTGCATGCCAGTGATTGCTGGTTTTTCACCACAGTCCTTTGTCTCCTTGCATAATAGTAGAGCGTAAGCTTGAGGGATACCTCTGCCCTGTTAGAGACTACATTTCCCAGACTTCCATGCGGCTAGGTTTTATAACTGTTTTCACCAATGAAATTGAATTGAAAGTGATTTATGCACATCCCTTCTATTCCTCTGGCTTAAAAGGAATTGCTGCCCTGTGTTTTTCCCCATTTGATTTCTTCTTCCTGGGAGCTAAAACTGATGTGCCTGCAATCCAACTTAACAGAGGAGATGAAGACAAGTCCCTTAATGCCTGGCTGCTCAAAAGGGAGATTTCCTAAAAGCCTGTTAGTATCTTAAGTTTCACTCAGAATCTACTGAACCAGAATCTGCATTTTTAACAAGATCTCAGGTGATTTATATTTGCATTACACTTTGAGAAACGTTGTTTTTGGGGACAGCAGACCAATTTTATGTTGGTCTTTGAACAACCTCATAAAGTAGAGCCATTGCTCTCCCCGCTTGCCCCCTACCCCCCGCCAACCTCCTCCTGTTGTCTTCTTAAGCTATTGAATTTTGAGGCCTCTTTGTTATAGTAGCATAATATTTGCACTAATATAATTTCACTCATCTGTTGACCTAAAAGCAAGGCATGCACTCATTTAGGAAATATCTATTGAAAACATTTTATAAGCAAAGTACTGTTCCAGGATATATTTATATGTATAAATATATAAAAATACAGGAAGCGTTATATATGTATAATTATTGGATTTATATAATTTGGATTTTATGCATATGTAAATATATATTATATAAAAATAAATAATTTGGAAGATATATATTTATTCCCAAATTATTTAAAGCCTAGGTTTTTTCCCTCGAGTTTACAATTTAATAGAGGAAAAAAGACATAGGAATATAAAAATTATGGATGCTATAAGAAAATGTATTAGATATTTGCTGGTTTTAATGTGTTTTTTTTGGAAGTCTGTGGTAGAGAGAATAATGCCCCCCCAAAGATATCCATGTTCTAATCTCCTGAACCCATGAGTATGTTACTTTATATGCTAAAAGGAACTTTGCAGATGTGATTAAGTTAATGATTTTAAGATGAGAAGATTGCTCTAGATTATACAGGTGGGACCAATATAATCACAGGGCCCTTATAAAGAGGGAGGCAGAGGCTCAGAGTCAGAGGCAGATCTATGAGGATGGAAGCAGGGGTTGGAGGGATGCTGTTGCTGGAAGGAGTAAGACAAGGAATGCGGACATTCTCTAGAATCTGGAAAGGGTAGGAGCTGGATTCTACACTAGAGCTTCCAGAAAGAGTACAGTCTTAAAAAAACAAATTTCTTTTTACGTTTGTTTAGTTTTGAGAGAGAGAGAGAGAGTATGCTCTTCTGGGAGAGGCAGAGAGAGGGAGACACAGAATCTGAAGCAGGTTTCAGGCTCTGAGCTCTCAGCACAGAGACCAACACAAGGCTTGAACCTATGGACCATGAGATCATGACTCAAGCTGAAGTTGAACACTCAACTGACTGAGCCACCCAGGCCCTAGTACAGTCTTGCCAACATCTTATGATTGAGACCATCCTTGGATTCTGTCTGCCAGACTGTAAAATGATACCTTTGTTTTGTGTTAAACCACTAAATTTGTGATAATTTGTTATAGTAGCAATAGAAAACAAATAAACAACTCTCATTTGGGGCAGCCCACGTCCCATACCTCAATGTATGTAGAGGCAGAGCCAGACATTCCTTTCCTCATTATTGGCCAATTATGTATTTTTGTTCAGGACATAGAATCTTGAGGGACTGAGACAGACAAGGAACTAGAAGTTATTCATGGAGAGGCACCTGGGTGGCTTGATTGAGTGTCGGACCCTTGATTTCGGCTTAGGTCATGATTTTGTGATTCATGGGTTCGAGCCCTGCTTTGGGCTGTGTGCTGACAGTGCAGAGCCTGCTTTGGATTCTCTCTCTCCTTTCTCTCTACCCCTCCCCTGCTCATGCTCGCTCTGTCAAAATAAATAATAAAAAAACTTAAACAAAAATTACTCATGGAGGTGGTGGCAGGAGTGGCCAGACTGTTTCTGTAACATGATGTTGCCTATGAAACCAGGCCAGCAGTTGGTTTTACCAAAGCAGGGGTCAGTGTGAGTTGAAAACAGGCTTGTTCTAGAACACTCTCTGGGCATGTGTAGGAATGAGTAAGTTCCAAATAGGTTGCTCTCACATCCAGTTCTCACAGCATCAAATAATTCCAGAGTGCCTAATGGGCAGCCACAATTCCTGTTTATAGGCTGGTAGGGGAATACAGACATTAAAGAAACAAACGTTTGATGAAAGTTACTGGAGGGGAAACAGAGTACACAATCAGAGTACAGTATAGGGGTCATTTGCAGGGGCATCCTTCCATCGTTAGGCCTCACTTACTGTGAACTTCATCCAGGACAACACAATTTTCTCATAGAGGATCTAGCCAATATATTTTTATTTTATTTATTTATTTTTTATTTATTTCTAGGAGAGAGAGAGACAGCGTGAGCAGGGGAGGGTCAGAGAGAGAGGGAGTCACAGACTGAAACAGGCTCCAGGCTCCGAGCTGGCAGTCAGCACAGAGCCCGATGCGGGGCTCGAACCCACGAGCCGCGAGATCATGACCTAAGCAAAAGTCGGACGCTCAACCGACTAAGCCACCCAGGCGCCCCGTAGCCAATATATTTTTAAAGACACATTTCAGAAAAAAGAGAGACAAGCCAAGAAACAGAATCTTCACTATAGAAAACAAAGTGATGATTACCAGAAAGGAGGCGGTCAAGACTGGGTGAAATAGGTGACGGGGATCAAGGAGGGCACTTGTGATGAGCAGTGTGTGCTGTATGGAATTGCTGACTCACCATACCATACATCTAAAATTAACATAACACTGTATGTTAATACACTGGAATTAAAATTAGATAAAAAGATATATTTTATAGAACTATATGACTAAACATTTGGAAAATAGAGAATAAAGCTACCCATACTCTGCTACTCTAACCATACAGTACAAATTCCTCTTCAGTTTTTATTGTATAATCTGTGATAGCTGTTTATGATGTACTAGGTACAATGCATTGTGCTAAGCATCTTCTATATACGATTTTATTTAATCTTCATAACAATCCTATAATGTAGATATTATTCCCTTTGTTGTATCATTTCTGTCACATTTTGGTCATATTTTCACGATAGGTCTTGAAGTAGTGAAAGGTGAATAAGACTCCTGATGTATGTTCATGAAATCGCTCCCTGAATGGGTTGTAGCATTTTGAAATATGGACAATTCTATAAAGCCTCTATTAGACAAGAAAGTACCTCAAATACAACTTGAATTTCTTTGAAATTTCTCATTATAGTTACTTCTCATCTAGAATGCTTCAATTTACCTCTCCCACGACAATTTAGAGCTTGAAGAAGCCTCAGAAAGCATGTATTTGAATCCTCTCTTTTCTCAGACTGGGGAAACAGGTCCAAAACAAGTAAGTGGAGGCTACAGGTAACTCCCACCCACTGTCTTAAGGGCATCTTTTCTATTACTTTACTAGATCCAACCTAGGGTCCGAAATGGTTGTTAGAAACAGCAGTAATACATTACAATCAAGTCTGACCTATTTCCGCAGTAATCAAAGCCTTTTGACACGCATTTGTCACAAAATCCAGAAAGGGAGAGTTGGGTATTTTTATTAATAAGCAGATAGACTCAGGTGAGGGGCGGAGCGAGGCCTCACTCAGCTCTTCTCCTGCGTATTATTAACAAGGAAAAAAAAATGCCCATCTCGAACCGAACCACTCTTTGAAAAACAGGATAAAGGCTTTCTAAAAAAGAGCCGCCAGGATACCAGCTTTGCGTTCCGGCGGGGACCAGCCAGGGCGACAACAAGCCCACTTTGAGGTGGGCACTGGGCAGCGGCGTGCATTGCGCAGGCGTGCACCTGTACTGGTGCAGGGGCCACGGGCCCGCGCTTGCCCGTCGCCGCCTTGCGCGCCCCCGCCTCTCCCAGCTTTCCATCCTTCAGGCCCCGCCTCGCCGGCTCTGCGCCTGGTCTTCTCCTGCAGTCGCCCTGTGGCTCCGCGGGCGGGCAAACTGCGTGTTGCTGCGTCATCGCCAGTGGCCGGTTTGAATGAGACTCTCGTCGCACCCGTGCTGCCGCCACTCCCGCGCCTCCGCCTTGGCCGCCACCACAGCTTCATCGTGTCCCTTTCCCTTCGACGCCCTTGCCAGGCCCAGCCTTCCTGCGCCGCCGCCGCCTTTTGCGCCGCCATGCCGCTGTATTCAGGTGAGCTCTCTGCTCGACCCGCGGTTCGGTTCTGCGCTAGGCCTCTGAGTAGGCCAGCCTGCAGGGCGGCTACCCGGCTGAGCACGGGTCGGGGGAGGGGTCCGGGAAGGCGTGCGTCGGGGTGACTGCGGCGTGGCGGTGACCCTGGCCCCTTTCTGCCTGCTATTTCTGAGCTCTGCAGCTTGAGGGACCACTGTCCCTCCTGGCCCCGGGTGGGTGGGGAGTGCAGATGGGGAGCGCAAGTCAGCGCTTGGAGTGGTGACTCTGCAGAATAGTTTCTGTCACTGTCCTAGTGAACCAGAAGAGGTGAGGGTGTGTCCTGAGGCACCAGGGAGCAGGCTAGAGGTGTAGTGGGGGGTTTTCTTGGGCTCCGTAGTGGTAGCCGTGGAAGGGAGGGGCAGGGGAGGAAGCTTTAGGTAAGGGCGGGATGGAAGGACCCGAGATGGAAGGTTAGCTTTCATCGTGCTTGGGCTTTCCCTCAGTACCTTTTGCTGCCTTTGGCTCAAGCACCGCTTTTGTACCAATTTCAGTTTTATCCCGAGGTAGATTGTGAACTTTTTGCTTCGCTTTCATTTTATCAAACGTTATATTGGGCTTCTGTGTCTGAGACATAGCGTTAGCATTGAGACTTAGATGAATACAGATATCCACAGGCGTCATTTCCTTTTAAATGGCGCTTGACATTTTTTATTTTATTTTGCTCGAAGCAGTCCAGAGTATTAGCCAGCGATCACATTTTCACTTAGTTAATGGCCCTTGCTGTTTCTTAGACTTATTCAAAATGGCACCTGAAATGTATGTAGTGGCTTCCATTAGCTATGGATGTGTGATTCATTGGCCATTCCTGACTTTATCGTGATTCTTGTGAAGATTCAACATATTTAAGGAATGATATGAAACAAAGGAGTAATGTTTAATCTTGAGGAGGATTCTTGATATTCTAGAGTCTTGAATGCTTTAATTGCTCAATCTCTTTCTAAAGCCATGATTAACAGTAGAATGGTACTTGAAATATTCTATTTAAGCAATGTAGAATTGAGGGTTTATTAACTAATGGGAATAAATACCAGTGTATGCTAATACGTAAATACACCGGTAGACTCACAAATAACACTGCCAGTCCCGCTCTGTTTCCCTCAAAAATACTTAATGTTCACCAAAACTTTCTATCTTAAATATTAGGTTCTATCTTAAATATTTAATAATACTTGTTCCTTATTTTGAAAATGAGAGAATTGGGGTAGATTTCCAAGGTTTCTTCCTCTGACTTCTCCATATTTAGATAATGTATTTTCAGGTTCTGCAAAAACCCCTATATTAAAATGAGAACATTTTAAGTATCGTTTCATAAGTTTTAGTAGAGAATTAAATATCCAGATTTGTATATTGTTAAAGATCAGTGCCATAAAAAGTAATGAACACCTGTATACCTGGCACCAAGCTAGTGTTTTTATAACATCGCTTTGTTTTAATCTTCAACATCATCCTCTGATACTGGTAGAATTCTCTTTGATGGGTAAGTAAAAAATTAAAGTAACTTGTTCATGGTGACACAGCTAAATCAATTTCAGATAGGTTCTTCATGATTTCTAATACTGTTTTGGTTTTGTCTTATTTTTTTGCTTGTACTCTTGTTTTGTGTTCCTTCTTATTTCAAGATTACAGTAGTGCCCTGTTCAAACCCATTTTCCCACCCGCTCTTAGAGTGATCTGATGTTCAAACTACACTGAAGTGGCCTTTATGAAAACCTTTCAGGAATTTTACATTTCTTTAACATTAAGCCCAAAGCCTGTATGTTTTCGCATGACTTATGTTATCTTCCTTGACTTGATCCTTGGCCAGTTTCCAGTTTCAGCTTCTTCCCCTTCACTCTGGGAATTACTTAAATCTCAGGACACATAATGCAGTTTTATGCTTTTGATGTTTTTCTTATCTCTTCCAGGAATGCTTATATATCCAAAGTGTCTGGCTAACACCTAATTTTTTCTTTGCAACTCAACTGAAAGTCGACAGTTATAGGGGTGCCTGGGTGGCTGTCAGTTAAGCACCTGATTCTTGATTTTGGCTCAGGTCATGATCTCCTGGTTGATGGAGCCCCTCATTGGGCTCTGTGAATATGGCCTGAAGCCTGCCTGGGATTCTCTCTCTTTCTCTCTGCCCCTCTCTTGCTCACACATGCACTCTATCTCTTATAAATAAACATGTTTAAAAAAAAAAAAAGGTTGATAGTTATAACCCAAGTTATCACTTCCTCCAGGGAATCCTTCACTCATGAAGCATTCCTTTGTGATTCTGTAGCATTTATAATATTTATATAGTATTGTTAATTGTGACTTTTTCTCCTCCTGTCTCTCTTCTTACTAGATTCCAGGGTCATAGAGTCTCCCTAATGCTTGTTACTGAGCTTGCTGAATGAATGTTAAACATATTAATTGAATTGGTGAAAGAATTAGGATTTGGAGTAAGGATTAGCTCATATGAGAGAGACAATGTGACTGAGGTAGGGGCAGAGAGAGAGGGAGACACAGAATCTGAAGCAGGCTCCAAGCTCTGAGCTGTCAGGAGAGCCCAGTGCAGTGCTGGAACCTATAAACCACAAGATCATGACCTGAGCTGAAGTCAGATGCCCTACCGACTGAGCCACCCAGGCACCCCTAAAAATATTTATTTTTGGGAGAGAGTGAGGAAGAGTGTGTGCACATTCACAACGTGGGGACAGAGAGAGGGGGACAGAGGATCCAAAGCAGGCTCTGCACTGACAGCATAGAGTCCGATGCACGGCTTGAACTCCCTGTGAGATCTTGACCTTGAGCCCAAGTTGGACACTTAACCAACTGAGCTACCCAGACACCCCTATTTTAACCATTTTTAAGAGTACTTTTTTTGGCATTAAGTATATTCACATTGTTGTGTGACCATCATCACCACCTACCTTCAGAACTTGTTCATGTTCCTAGACTGAAACTCTGTTCCCTTTAAAAATAACTGCATTTCCTTTTCCCCACAGCCTCTTAGCAACCTCCATTCTACTTTCGGTCTCTCTGAATTTGACTACTGTAGGTGTCTTACATAAAGGAAATCATAATATTTGTCCTTTTGTATCTGGCTTATTTTGCCTAGCATAATATCTCCAGGGTTCATCCATGTTGTATAGCATGTGAATTTCATTACTTTTTATTTTTTTTATTTTAGAGAGTACGGACGTGCACAAGGTGGGGAGACGGGTAGAGAGAGAGAGAGAGAGAGAGAGAGAAAATCATAGATAGGCTCCACGCTCAACATGGAGTCTGATGTGGGGCTCAATCCTATGACCCTGGGATATGACTTAAGTCAAAATCAAGAGTCAGATGCTCAGTTGACTGAGCTATCCTGGTGCTGCTGAATTTCATTACTCTTTAAAGCTGAATATTGTCCATTGTATGTCTATACCACATTTTGTTCATCTGTTGATGGACACTTTGATCGTTTCACATCTTTTAGGCTATTGAGAATAATGCACTGTAAACACTGGGTATACAAATATTCGTTTGAGTCCTTCACACTTTTGGGTATATATTTAGAAATGGAATTGCTGGATCACATGGTAAATTTAATTTTTGAAGACCCTCCATACCTTTTCCACAATGGCTGTACTATATTATATTCCCATCAGGAATGCTCAAGTGTTCGAGTTTCTCTGCATCCTCAGCAGCACTTGGTATTTTCTTTTTCTTCTTTTTTAATAGCCTTCCAATCCTACTGAAGTAGGATTTTAAAAATAATTTTTAATAATAATAATCTTTGGGTTTTTCTTAATATTTGACCACCTCTTGCTCGGGAACCACACCTTTCAGTTCTCCCATGGAGCCTTTCTTCTAATAATCCAGAATCTGTATTCCTTGACCTGATTTAAATATGCTTTATTTTACAGGCATTTTTCTTCTCTACAATTATCATTCTAGCCTTTCTTACTCTGTTCTTGTTTTATGTACTCATTTTAATAATTGCTTAGTTAAACACATTTTGAAGTCTGTGAACCTTATTCTGGGAAATCGTGTGATCATACTTTGCTGAGATTATTAGAGTAGGATTCTGAAAGAATGGAATATTTACTATTTTTGTTACATTTGTAAATCAGTCATCTTAAGTCTCAGTTTCTTTATCAAATAAGAAGTTGGGTTAGATTTATTTAAATTTTATTCAGGACCTACTGCATTCAAGTCACTTCTGATAAGGTGAGCATACTAAGAGGAATTAAAGCCAAACTAATGGGTCCCCTGGGGATCTTGTAAATCTAAAGTCCTGTTATTTTATAAATTTAAAAAGTAAATTATGGTTTTATTTCCAGTTACTGTGAAATGGGGAAAGGAGAAATTTGAAGGTGTAGAATTGAACACTGATGAACCTCCAATGGTGTTCAAGGCTCAGCTTTTTGCACTGACTGGAGTCCAGCCAGCCAGACAGAAAGTTATGGTGAAAGGAGGAACATTGAAGGTAAAATTCAAATTTTCATTATATGTTATTATATAATTAGTGGAAACACCAGAAAATGTAGCATTTGAGGTATTTTATTTGGCAAGAGTATATAGTCTGAGATTAAAATGGTCTTATTCATGTCAGCGTAGGAAGGAACATTGCAGCCATATCAAAAACACTGTATTATAAAAGGATCATTAAAATTTTTATTTTAAAATGCATTGTATCAATGAATACTCTTGGGGGTCTGAGGAGTGTAGAATTTTCCATTTAGCTCTACTTTTGGGATATTTTTCCTGTGGGTGTGTTAAAAGTATTTTATCTTTTTTTAGACTAATACAAAAACTATTTATATATCCTTAATTTTCTGTTATAGGAGTAGAGGAAATTTTATATCTGTTAGAAATATGGAAGTTGCTTAAAAAGAAAAGACTACAGAAGACATTTTTGTACATCCATTCAGATGTTGAAAATCAAAGTATTTCAACATCTTTACCAAAGCCCAGTTCTGGAATACTGAAAAACTTAATTTTTCTTTTCTTTTTAAAATTTTTTAATGTTTATGTATTTCTGAGAGAGGGAGAGAGACAGCATGAGCAGGGGAGGGTCAGAGAGAGGGAGACACAGAATCCGAAGCAGGCTCCAGGCTCTGAGCTGGCTGTCAGCACAGAACTCGATGCGGGGCTCAAATCCACGAACTGTGAGATCATGACCTGAGCTGAAGTTGGATGCTTAACTGACTGAGCCACCCAGGCGCCCCAAAACTTAATTTTTTTCTTTTGGTCTGTTTTGCATTCTACTCATTAAAAAGGAGCTCCTATCACTTAAGAGTAATCACTATTTAACACCTATTTGGTGACAAAAAATTTTGCTTAAAAAATTAGGCTTAAGAAGGAACCTAATTTTCCCTTGGAATGATCACATTGACTACAATTAAGAGTTTAAGCTTACTGGCATCATTGGTGATGGGCCACAAAAAGATGCAAGTATTATTGTTTGTAATACTATGTAAGTATAGTTTTAAAAAGGTAATATCCTCAAGAGTTAGGTATGAAATACTAAAGAGCTGTAGTTAACTTTAGAGATAAGGCTTGGTTGCCTTTGTTAGCTGGTCAATAAATGAGATGTTGGTGAAGAAAACATTGTTTTCCCAAGTTACAAGTTGGGAAAGTTACAAGTTATAGTACGATAACTTTCCCAAGTTATGATCCTGTGGTAATTAGTGAGCTTGATAACCTAATTTGTGATGAGTTGTATACTGGTGGTATACTGTGGAGAGTCACAGAAAAATTGTAATTAAATGAAACTGACTACTAATAGCTATCACTTACTGAATACTTATTCTGTTTCAGGCTTTTATTTTCTTTAATTTTCACCTATATGTATTTTAAAAATGAGAGTAAAATAATTTCATAAATTAGAGAACTTAGCATCAGAGAGATTATTATTATTTTAAATGTTTATTTTTGAGACAGAGGGAGGGAGGGGCAGGGAGATAGAGGATCCAGAAGCAGGGTCTGCACTCACAGTAGAGAGTCTGATGTGGGGCTCGAACTCAGGAACTGTGAGGTCATGACCTGAGCCCAAGTCCAACTTTAACCAGCTGAGCTGCCCAAGCACCCCCAGTGTCAGAGAGATTTAAGGAACATATATAGTAAGGCATCAGAAGAGCATGTGATTTACAAATCAAGCAGATCTGGGTTCATTTTATGGTTTTTGTGACTTCAGATAACTAAGTGATCTGAGGGAGCATATATAGTTATTATTCCTTATGATTCGTAGTAATAACCCTTAAACTGAGAAGGGCATTTAGGAAGTTACTGTTGGCGCTTTGAAGCAGGGTGTCCAAAGGGAAGCATATTGAGTGCCTGGCATCTTCTGTAAAAAGGAGAGTAACATATATGGAATTTAAGAAACAAAATAGATGAATATAGGTGAAGGGGAGGAAAAATAAAATAATAAAAACAGAGAGGAAAACAAACCATAAGAGATTCTTCACTTTAGAGAACAAACAGGGTTGTTGGAGGGGAGGTTGGAAAGGTTGGACTAAATGGGTGATGGGCATTAAGGAGGGTGCTTGTGATGAGCACTGGGTGTCGTATGTAAGTGATGAATCATTAAATTCTACTCCCGAAACCAGTACTACACTATATGTTAACTAACTTGAATGTAAATAAGATCTTGGAAGAAAAAAAAAGGAAAGAGTACTGAGGAGATGACTGACGATCTGGTGAAGGGCAAGGAGATGAGTAGCAGTAGGCCAAAATATCTGTGGGCCAATCATGGCATGAAAAAAATCTGGTTTTAATTGAATATATTGAGGCAGAAGTATTTAATTGCTTCATAGATATGGAATTTAGGACTTGAGAAACGTTTGTAGACATAGCAGATGTTACTAAGGGTTAGTTTGCCTTTGGTAATCGTGGTATTTTTCTTTAATGTTGGTTTTTTTTTGGGAGAGAGAGAGATCATGAGCGGGGGAGGTGCTGAAAGGGAGAGGGACAGAGGGTCTGAAGTGGGCTCTGCACTAACAACAGAGAGCCTAAAGCGGGGCTCAAACTCATGACCCGAACTGTGAGATTTTGACTTGAGCCAAAGTTGGAAATCAGACACTTAACCAATTGACCTACCCAGGCACCTCCTTGGTATAATTTTTAATAGCACTTTCATTCCTAAGAATCTCCTACTTTTGGCAGTAAACTTATAATTGCTCTAATTATGTAGACCTTATTTCATAAATTACTCTTCATTCATGTCGTGTAAGCTAATTATTAGCTTTGCTGGTTCCATACATACAACAAACATGCAAAAAATTAATATCTGTCATCAATTAAATGTTTTTTAGTCCTTTGGGGATTGTCAAGTTTACTGTCTTTTAGATTGTTTCTTTTGTAGCTTAAGCAATTGTTAGATTTATTGGCTTTAAGACTGCGTATATGTGCCCTTGAGTGTGCAAGTGGAGGAGGGTCAGAGACAGAGGGAGACAGAGAATCCCAAGCAGGCTCCCATTGTTAGTGCAGAGCCTCAAGTGGGGCCCTCATCCCGGGAACCGGGATATCATGATCTGAACCGAAATCAAGAGTTGGATGCTCAACCCACTAAGCCACCCAGGTGCCACCCGCCCCTCCCCCACCAAGTAGTGTTATTATAGTTATTTTAAGTAAAATGTGCATAAAGAAAAAAATTCTGTTTTGGAGTAGTTTTGTTTTTGTTTTTGTTTTTAATTATTTTTTAATGTTTATTATTTTTGAGAGAGAGAGAGAGAATGAGCAAGCGGGGGAGGAGCAAAGAGGGAGGGAGACACAGAATCAGAAGCAGGCCCCAGGCTCTGAGCTGTCAGCACAGAGCCTGACGCGGGGCTCAAACCCACAGACCGCGAGATCATGACCTGAGCTGAAATCGAGATCATGACCTGAGCTGAAATCGGCTGCTTTACCGACTGAGCCACCAGTGCGCCCCTGTTTGTTTTCTTAAAGTTTATTTCTTTTGAGAGAGAGAACAGGGGAGGGGCAAAGAGAGAAGAGAGAGAGAATCCCAAGAGTCTCAAGCAGGCTCCACACTGTTAGTGCAGAGTTCAACATGGGGCTCGAATCTGTCAACTGTGAGATCATGACCTGAGCTCAAGTCAAGAGTCAGATGCTTAAATGACTGAGCCACCCAGGTGCCCCTTGAGTAGTTTTAAAATTAGTTGATTACTGGACGAATGGATCAAGAAGATGTGGTGTATCTATACCGTGGAATACTACATGGCAATGAGAAACAATGAAATCTGGCCATGTGTAGCAACATGGATGGACCTTGAGGGTGTTATGCTGAGCGAAATAAGTCAGTCAGAGAAGGACAAATATCATATGTTTGCACGTATAGGAGGATTAGGAGGAACTTAACTGAGGAACAAGGGGGAGAAGAAGGGGGGAAATGGTGGGGGAAAGGGAGAGAGGCAAACCATGAGAGACTCTTGAATGCTGACAAAAACTGAGGACTGATGGATGTGGGAGGGAGGGGGGATGGGCATGGAGGAGGGCACTTGTGGGGATGAGCACTGAGTGTTATGTGGAAACTAATTTGACAATAAACTATTTGTAAAAAAATAAAAATAAAATAAAATTCGTTGATTATTAGAATATGTTCAAATTGTACAGGAGTGGTTAAATGTTTTTTATTTGTTTTTAAAACAGGATGATGATTGGGGAAACATCAAAATAAAAAATGTAAGTATTACCATAACACTTCTGTAATGTAGTTTCTTAATTAGTATACCAAAATATATTCAAAATGCCTTTTCTCCATATATACACTTATGTGTATATGTATATAGACGTATATGTATATGTATGTACACATATATGTAAATGTATATACACGTATATGTATATACACGTATATGTATATGTATACACACATATACGTATATGTGTGTATATATATGTATATGTATATATATGGAGAAATATATCTCTAGTTGTTCCAGCACTATCTGTTGAAAATACTTTCCTTTTCCTGTTGACTCATCTTGGAGTCTTTCTTGAAAATCGCTTGTAGGTTTATTTTTGTACTCCTGTGTCATTGATACATTTGATTATAACGTAGTTACTAAAACTTAATAATAAGTCTTAAAATGAGATAGAATAAGTTCTCTAACCTCTGCCAGAATATTTTAGCTTCTTTGCATTTTCTTACAATCTAGAATAAGTCTGTTAGTTTTTACAAAGGGACTCCTGGAATTTTGAGATTGTATTGGTTCTATAGTTAAGTTTGGGGAGAATGGGCATCTTACTATTGAGCATTAAAATGCTTAACTATGATGTACTCTGTTTAGGCCTTTATATTCTCTTAGCAGAATTTTGTACCTTCTCTGTGTAGAGATCTTCATGATTTTTGTTAGATTCTTGGAATGTAGTGTTTCTTGGCTGTTGAAAATGATAATTAAAAAAAATTGTTTTCTAGTATTTGTGGGTAGATTTGATTTTTGTTTAAAAAAATTTTTTTTAATGTTTTATTTCTGAGAGAGAGACAGAGACAGCGAGAGACAGCATGAGCATGGGAAGGTCAGAGAGAGAGGGAGACACAGAATCCAAAGCAGGCTCCAGGCTCTGAGCTGTCAGCACAGAGTCCGAAGCGGAGCTGGAACCCACGAACCGTGAGATCATGACTTGAGCCGAAGTTGGATGCTTAACCGACTGAGCTACCCAGGCGCCCCTCGTGGGTAGATTATAAAAATACAGTTTATTTTTATCCTGACTTTGCTAAATTCACTTAGTACTTGCCGTAGTCATTTTCTAGATCCCTTTTGTGCTTTTTATGTACATAAGTATGTATTCTGCAAATAGAGGTATTTTTACTTCTTCCTTTTCAGTCTTTATGATTTCTATTTCTTTTTATTGCCTTACTTCCCTGGGCTAGGACTTGTCACACATTGTTGAATAGAAAGTGATGAGAAAGGGCATCTTTGTTTTCTTAGCTCATTCAGTTCATGAAGACCTTTTAAATTATGAATGGCTGTTGAATTTTGTTTTAAGTGCTTTTTGTGCTTATTAAAAAGGTCATATGATTTTCCTACTTTATTCTGATGATCTGGTTAGTCTCCTTGATTTTTAATTGTTAAATCTTGCATTCCTGGGATGTGTGGCTTTAAAATTTTTTGGCCTTTGTGACCCCATTTACACTCTATTATTATTTTTAAACATGGTTAAATAGTGGGAAAAGGGAGTTGTCTTAAATCTTGACATTCTTTCCTAGTACACCAGAACTTAACATGTGATAGTTCATAATTGGTTAGTTTGTGGTAGAAACCACATCAGTGACCTTTCCTACATAAACATCTATTTGTATGTTTTTCACTTACAATCGATCTTATACTTGTGCATGATTTTATAACCTCATGTATTGGTCATTTGGAAAATACTGTTTTTCTGAGTTTTTTAGATCTTTCATACATTGATGTATTTTAATACACAATACCAAAAAATTGCATTCATTCATATCACTACCAACTTCAAAAAATTGCATTCATTAATATCATTACCAGCCTCAACAGTACATAGAGCTGCCAAGTACATAGTGATAGACGTAACATTCTAATTTTCACGCTAAGTCTCTAATTTTGTCATTAACAACTATATACAATCAGTTGGTTTTCCTAAGGCAACAAGCCCACTTCATTTATTTTTGAGAAAATTTTTGCTACTCAAATATAAAAACCCATAATTTATAGTTGTTTTAAGTAAAAATGATACTTCATTAAAAAAGCCGCTAGTCCAGGGGCACCTGGGTGGCTGGATGGCTCAGTCTGTTAAGTGTCTGACTTCGGATCTGGTCATGATCTCATGGTTCATGAGTTCCAGTCCTGTGTCAGGCTCTGTTCTGACAGCTAAGAGTCTGGAGCCTGCTTTGGATTCTGTGTCTCTCTCTCTCTGCCCCTCCTCCTGCTCATGCTCTATTGCTCTCTTTCTCTCAAAAATAAACACTGAAAAAAAATTTTAAAAAGCAACTAGTTCAGTTTGCAACTCAGACATTTATGCAAGCTTATACTGAAGAAAATGATTATACTTCAGTATGCAGATGTGTTGTTTTCATTGATTTTTTTTTAATAGATTTTATTTTTTAGAACAGCTTTGGGTTCACAGCAAAAACTAAGTGGAAGATACAGAGCTTTCCGACATACATAGCCTTTTTCATTACCAGAATCCCCTACACACAATTTGGCACATTTGTTATAATTGATGAACATACATTGACTCATCATTGGTACCCCCGCCCCCAATTCTGTATGCTCTGCCTGATCCCTTCCTCCGGTCAACCGTCTGATAATCATTGATATTTCACTGTCTCTGTGATTTGGCCTTTTCCCAGAATGTCATGTAGTTGGAATCCTACAGTATGTGGCCTTTTCAGATTGACTTCTTTCACTTAGTAATCTATGTTTAGGTTTTCTCTATGTCTTTCATGGCTTTGATAGTTCAGTTCTGTTTAGTGCTGAATAATAGTCCATTTTCTGGATATTTCACAGTTTATTCACCTACTGAAGGAGATCTTGATTGCTAGAAGTTTTTTGTTTTTTGTTGTTGTTTTTTTTAATGGATGCTTCCCATTCCATAGCACAGAATATGAAAAAGGAATGAATTCAAAAGGTTGAGATTAAAAATGATTTTTTTTACCAGTTCATTTGATATCATTACTGTGGTATGTGTTAAACTGTTAAAATATTTTGCACTATTAGTGCAAGTGTCTGCACATGAACAAGGAACAGTAACTTTCTTGGTATTATGAAAACAGTTTTGATTGTGCTGGTGCTGTGAAAGAATTTTACAGACCAATAGGGATTCACAGACACTTTGAGAACTGGGACAAACCCATTAAATCATGATGTATTTATCTCATTATATATTGCTGGATTTTATTTTCTCATTTTTAAATTTTTACTATTATTTTTTAATGTTTATTTTTGAGAGAGACAGTGCAAGTGGGGGAGGGGTGGAGAGAGAGGGAGATACAGAATTCGAAGCAGCTCCAGGCTCTGAGCTGTCAGCACAGAGCCTGATGCAGGGCTTGAACTCAGACTGAGAGATGATGACCTGAGCTGATGTTGGATGCTCAACTGACAGAGCCACCCAGGCACCCTTCATTTTTTTAAAAAGGATATTCGTGTGTACGTTCATGAGGGATATTAGTATTTTTATTTGGAGACTTATTTCCCATTCTTTTCTAAATGATTTTGTGTAAGATTGGTATTATTTCTCTAAGTATTTGAAATAATTTATCTGTGAATTCTACCTGGACCTGGATTTTTCTTTATGTTCTGTTTGAGCTTCTTGGATTTGTGGGTTTTTAGTTTTTTTTACATTTGGAAAAGTGTAGCTATTTCTTAAGTATGTTTTCTGTGGGCCCTTCTCTCTCCTCTTTTCTAATATTTATTTATTTTGAGAAAGAGCGAGTAGGGGAAGGGCACAGGGAGAGAGAGAGAGGGATAGCATCCCAAGCAGGCTCCACAGTGTCATCATGGAGGCTGATGTAGGGCTCAAACCCACAAACTGTGAGATCATGACCCCAGCTGAAATCAAAAGTTAGACGCTTAACCAGCTGAGCCACCCAGGTGCCCTCTCTTTTTTGAGACTGCAATTACACATATATTGGGTAGTTTTGCCCACTATACAATTTTGGTCCCTTTAATTTCTGTGTGTGTGTGTGTGTGTGTGTGTACGTGCGTGCGCGCGTGCACGTGTGCGTGTATTCATCTTTCTCTTTTTTTAATGCTTATTTATTTTAAGAGAGAGAGGGTGCATGTGTGCAAGAGGGGCAGAAGGGAGAGAGAGAATCCCAAGTAGAGCTTGATGTCGGGTTCTATCTCAGGAACTGTGTGATCATGACCTGAACTGAAATCGAGTTGGATGCTTAACCAACATAACCACCCAGGTGTCCTGTATCTTTTCCTCTCTTGATAGATATTTGTGTTTATACTTTTTGACTATTATGAATAAAACTGCTGCGAACCTTCATCTTTGTAGGTGCATATTTTCATTTTTCTTGAGTAAATACCTACAAGTGAAATTGCTGGATCATATGGTTAACCTATATGTTTAACTTTGTAAGAAACTGCCGAATACCTTCCATAGTGGTGGTTGTACCGTTATACATTACTGTGAACAGTGTATGATAGATCCAGTTCTACATCATCACAGCATTTGATTGTTGTCAGTCATTTTTTTTTAACAATTCTGGTGGATGTGTAGTGATGCTTTCTTGTGGTTTTAGTTTACCTTTATGTGATGACTAATGATACTGAATAAATTTAATGAGCTTATTGGCAACTTCTTTATCTTCTATTTGTAAAACATCTGTTCAAATCTTTACCTATTTTTAATTAGATTGTTAATTGTATTTTGAATATTAATATATATTGGAATCAAGTTTTTGTGATATATATGTGCTGTGATATTTTCTCCTAGTTTGTGTTTCTTAGTCATTTAATGTGTTTTGAGTACTTGTAAATTTTGTTGAAGTATAATTTATCAGTTTTTTTTCTTTTATTTATGGCTTTGACTGCATCCCATCTAAGAAATCTTTGCCTGCATCAAGGTCACAAGAGACTTATGTTTTCTAAAATTTTTACAAGTTTTACCTTTTATGTTTAGGTATATCATCTGTTTTGAGCAGACTCTTGTGTTTGTTAAGTAATTGTTGGAAGTTTATTTTGTTTTCCATGTGAGTGTTCACTTGTGAGAGCACATGTAAGTCTGTTTCTGCATTTTCTTCTCTTCTGTTGGTGTGTATACATACCTTTATGCCAATATTCATTTTTCCACAGTTGTGATTATTCAAGATTTGAAATCAAGTAGTGTGAGTCCGATAGTTCTTCTTTTTCAAAACTATTGGCTATTCTAAGATCTTTGCATGTCCTTTGCACTTTTTAGATTCAGCTTATTTTCTACAAGAGTCTGCTGGGAGTTTGATTGGAATTACATTGATACTATATATCTAATTGGGACTTTTTTTTTAAGCTTATTATTTTGAGAGAGTGGCGGGGAGGGGCAGAGAGAGAGGGAGAGAGAAAGAATTCCCAAGCAGGCAGGCTCTCAGCACAGAGCCTGACGTGGGGCTGGAACTCATGAACTGTGAGATCATGACCTGGGCCAAAATCCAGAGTCAGATGCTTAACTGACTGAGCTACCCAGGTACTCCTCAAATTGGGACATCTTAATATTTGTGTCTTCTAATTTACAAGCATGGTATATACCTCTCCATTATTTAGATATTAAAATTTCTCAAAAACAGTGTTTTATATTTTCAGTTTAGGGTCTTATACATGTTTTGTTAAATGTCATTAAGTATTTCATGGTTTGATGCTATCATAAAGGGGTTTTTGAGTGTTATCTTCTGATTGTTTATTGCTAATATATAGAGGTAGAATTATTGTATATGGATCTTGTGGCCTGTGATTTTGCTGATTTTTACATATTGGTGTTTAGGATAATGTAGGTTGGTATACCGTCATGCTGCAAATAAGAATGATTTTATTTTGGGGTGCCTGGGTAGCTCAGTCGGTTAAGCGTTCAGCTTTGGCTCAGGTCATGATCTCGCAGTTCGTGGATTCGAGCCCCGCATTGGGCTCTGTGCTGACAGCTAGCTCAGAGCCTGGAGGCTGTTTCAGATTCTGTATCTCCCTCTCTCTCTGACCGTCCCCTGCTCATACACTCGCGCTCTCTCTCTCTCCCTCCCTCTCTCTCTCAGAAAGAAAGAAAACATTAAAAAAATTTTTTAAAAAGAATGGTTTTATTCTTTCCTTTTCAATTTCCCCTTTTATTACTTTTTTCCTTTGCTGTATTTCACTGGTTAGGATTTTCAGCACACAGTGTTGAGTAGAAGTGGTTGATAGTGGACATTGTTGCTTTTCTCCTGATCTTAGAAGAAAAATCTCCAGTCTTGGCTGGAGTTGTTTTACAGATGTTCACCATTAGTTGGAGGAAGTTCTTTTCTGAAAGAGATTTTTAAAAAATGTTTTAGAGAATTCTTCATTGAGGCTTGGAGCTTATGGGAAGACTTTAAGATTTAGTGTATTTAATAAATGGGGAACTATTCAGATGTTAAATTTTCTTTTACATGATTTTGGCAATTAGCATCTTTTAAGGAATTGGTTCATTTAATTTACAGTTTAGATTGTTGAGTTGATTGGCATAATACACTCTTAATATCCTTTAATTCTAGGGTCTGTAGTGCTGTTTTCTCTCTCTCTCTCTTTTCTGGCATTGGCATATTGTGATTTCTCTCTCACTTTCTTCATTATCTACCCAGAGGTTTGTCAATTTCATTGATGTTCCCCCCCCCAAAGAATCAACTTTTGCTTGTTTATTCATTAATGATTTCACCTTTTTGCTTCATTTCCTTCTTTTACTTTTTTTTCAGGTTGATTTATTTTGAGAAGGAGAGAGCGTGAGCAGGGGAGGGGGAGAGAGAGAGAGAGACAGAGTGAGAGAAAGAGAGAGAAATCTCAAGATGACTCAGTGCTGTCAGCACAGAGCCCAATGTGGGGCTCCATTTCATGAACTGTGAGATCATGACCTGAGCCAAAATCGAGAGTTGGACGTTTAATCGACTGAACCACTCAGGCACCTCTACTTGGGTTTTTAATGTATACTTTTTCTAGCTTCTTATGGTAGAAGCTTAACTTAAGACTTTTGCTTGTTTACCATTTATCTCTTTTGCCCAGTTTTTTATTGTGTGTTCGCCTTACTGGTTTTTTTTAAGGTGCTTTTATATAGTGTAATTTTTTTTCTAGTCTTTCCTCTTAAATTTTGACTGATAGTTTAAACTTGGAAGTTCTCAAGATTTTTGCAGTTAGTGACATAAGTTCTTTGATCTTTTATGTCAGTTTTAGAAAATCTTCCGGCAAAGCAAGATATTTTGGATTCACTTACATGTTTTGGTAATTATTTGTTTCATTTTTTTACATCTCTAATGTGTAATTCATTTTAGGCATGACTATACCATGAGGTGAGAACTGATTATTTTTTTTCTAAATTCTTATCCAGTTTTCCTCAACATTCTTCATTGCATAATCTCTTTTCTTTAGTCTTTCTTTATTCTTTTTTAGAAATTTCTTAGCTATTGGGGCACCTGGGTGGCTCAGTCAGTTACGCATCTGACTTCGGCTCATGTCATGATCTCATGGTTTGTGGGTTTGAGCCCTGCGTCGGGCTCTGTGCTGACAGCTAGCTCAGAGCCTGGAGCCTGCTTCAGATTCTGTGTCTCCCTCTCTCTCTGACCCTCCCCTGCTCATTCTCTCTCTCTCAGAAATAAATAAAAACATTTAAAAATTTCTTAGCTATTGTTATGAGTATAAACTTGCTACATGAATGAATCATTTTGTAAAGTTTCAGAAAGAAATTAAATTTATATAATAATTTGGAATCCCATCTTTATAATAATGTTCTTAGTCTAGGAATTGGTTAGGGCTGTGAAAATGTTGGGGTTCATGAGTGAATGGTCAAGAATGAATTCTTGACATGTCTTTGATGCAGAAAGGGGGGCTTTATTAAAGCACAAGGCAGGATCTGTTAGCAGAAGAAGCTGCACTGAGATGGTGTGGAGTGACTGATTATATACTTTCAAGTTGGGAGGGATTTAGGGATAGTTTAAGTTTCTAAGGAATTTGGAAGCAAGGTTTCTAGGACCTTATGGGGCTAGCTGTTGTTAGGATACGGTCATTTACTGTCTAGTAAAACCTTAGTCATGAGACTCTTTAGATGTGTATTAGTGGCTACATGTTTGGAAGATGATTGCTAACATGTACCCTGGGAGGGTAGAGATAAAGGAAGATTCCAAAGGGATTTTTTTTTTATAGGATCCTGGAGGTCAGGCTAATGTCAAGCTAAGTTTGCCTTTTGCCTATAGCAAAGTATTAATTAACACTGAAGCAGCTAATAAGCTCCTTGAGGAAGATTACTCTGCCTGTCTCAGGTCAATGGGTTTGCCAGTGGACTGTAAGTTGTAAGGAATTTTAATTTATTTCTGTATTTTACCTTTGTTCTTCACATCAGTCATGACCTTCAGTTTACTATTTAGGTGTTTTGCTGTATCTCTAAGTAAAGCTTTATAGTTTTCTTATTAGAGTAGTACATATATCTTGTTATGTTTAGTTTTTTAATTGGTTTTGTTTTTCTTTTATATTTCTAACAAACTGTTGCAAGTACATTTGTTTAAATACTTGGTTTTCTTGAGATAGTTGTCTTTGGAAAAAGATTCTTTAGTGATGGTTTAGTATTGCTTTGCCATTATCTTACAGAAAGCTTAAGTTAAAAATAACCGGTGATAAAGTGAAGGTTATTGGATTTCAGCATAGGTACTCTCAAGACTGAGTTTGTTAACTTTATTAATTTTCTTAAAGGCTTTATTTTTAATCTCTACACTCAACAAGGAATTCATACTCACAGTCCTGAGATCAAGAGTTGCATGCTCCACTGACTGAGCCAACTAGGTGTCCCAGCCTTATTAATTTTCTAATTTTAATCCTCATCTAGAAATTTTTATCTTCTCTTTTTTTTTTTTTTTAAACCTCCCTACTCTTCTTTGTCTTATGCATTCATGTCTTCCATAGTAAGATATTGTTCACATTTCAGGATTACGAGGGTTAGGGGGACATTGTTCTTCTGTTGTATGGAATGTTACATATGTATTGAATATAAACATTCCCTTAGGCTAATAATGTAGAACTATGAAATTGGATATTTTGAACTTAGGTGTTTGATGCTTTTTAATAATGGAGGGTTTGCTCTCAAAATAATTCTATTAAAATGTAAATAATTGTTACAGTTACAAATAGACATTCACAGAAAGAATTTTCTCTGTGCTTTGTTTGTTATGGGGAGAAATGATTCCACTAAAGGTTAATGATTATTTCAAGAATTCCCTCCACTCCAGTATTTAAACATTCTCACCTGTCTTAACTTTTGTTTATTTTTGAGAGAGAAGTGTGAGCAGGGGAGGAGCAGAGCGAGAGGGAGACACAGACTCTGAAGCAGGCTTCAGGCTCTGAGCTGTCAGCACAGAGCCAGACGCAGGGTTTGAACCCACGGACCATGAGATCATGACCTGAGCCAAAGTTGGGCAGTTAACTGACTGAACCACTCAGGTGCCCCCAATCTCACCTGTCTTTATGACAGTATTTATTTTTCTCCTAGCTTCAGTGAGGCATAATTATTATGGATTAAAATTCACCTATTGTTAGTATACAGTTTGAATTTGCTTAATTTTATAGAGTCATGTAATCACCACCACAGTGATGATACAGAAGTCCCACTATTTTGAAGTTTCTTCACTCCCCTTTGCAGATAAGCAGGTGACCTCTGGCCTGAACAGCCAGCTCAGTACCTTTTTTTTTTTTTTAATCAGCAGCTTTTAGTATATTGATAAGAGTTGTGTATCCTTTCACTACAATATAATTTTAGAACATTTCCATCGCCCTTGGAAAAAATGGGTGCCTGTTAAGTCACTCCCTCTTCCCACCTTTATCCCTAGCAACCACTAGTCTACTTGGTGTCTTTGCAGATTTACCTTTTCTGGCAAATACAAGCATGCAATATGTGTTGTTATTCTGTCTGGTTTCTTTTGTTGGATATACAAATCATTTGAACATTTTTATGGAATTTAATTGTTTTGTGTTAAAAACAGGGAATGACTCTACTAATGATGGGGTCAGCAGATGCTCTTCCAGAGGAGCCCTCAGCTAAAACTGTCTTTGTAGAAGACATGACTGAAGAACAGTTAGCATCTGCAGTAAGACATATGACATTTTATATATTTGATTGCTATAGTTACTAGGATGCCTTTCAGCAAGTAGCATCTAAATGTTTTAAAGATTTAATTGTTAGTATTAAGATGTATGTTTTTAGTAGTAGAAATAATTGGATAATTCAATGCTAAGTCAATTAGTATCTTTACTAAGTGGCGATGCTAACTGCTATTACTTTATGGGAAAACAAGCTTAAAGAGGATAATTAGTTTAAATGCTGGGTTGTTACCCTGAGATACCACCTCACACCTGTCAGAGTGGCTAAAATGAAAAAATCAGGAGACTCTAGATGTTGGCAAGAATATGGAGAAATGTGCACCCTCCTACACTCTTGTTGGGAATGTAAACTGGTACAGCCCCTCTGGGAAACAGTGTGGAGGTTCCTGAAGAAATTAACAATAGAACTCCCCCATGACCCAGCAATAGCAATATACCCAAGGGATACAGAAATGCTGATGCATAGGAGCACATGGACCCCAATGTTCATAGCAGCACTTTCAACAATAGCCAAATCATGGAAAGAGCCTAAGTGTCCATCAACTGACCAATGGATCAAGAAGATGTGGTTTATCTATACAATGGAATACTACATGGCAATGAGAAAGAATGAAATCTGGCCATGTGTAGCAACATGGATGGACCTTGAGGGTATTATGCTGAGCGAAATAAGTCAGGCAGAGAAGGACAGACACCATATATTTTCACTCATATGTGGAACAGGAGAAACTTAACAGTGGATCATAGGAGAGGGGTAGGGGAAAAGATAGTAAGGAGAGGGAGGGAGGCAAACCATAAAAGACTCTTAAATACTTATTTGAGAACAAACTGAGGGTTGATGAGGGGTGGGGGAGAGGGGAAAATGGGTGATGGGCATGGAGGAGGGCACTTGTTGGGATGAGCACTGGGTGTTATATGGAAACCAACTTGACAGTAAACTATATTAAAAAAAGAAAGCTGGTTTTAAATTCTTAAAATTTTCCTTGTTGAAAATACAATGTGTTCTAAATTACAATATTGTTTTAAAAAAAACTGGTCAACACAAACTTGTCAAATGTTATTTTTTTATCATTGAGCATTTTTATAGTGTTACTTTTTTTTCTGTTTTTTTGAAGTGTTTCTATGTATACTTTGTTACCTCGTTGTATTGATAAGCCTGCAAAGGCGGGCAAGACTCCTAACGATTGTTCTCTTATTTTCAAGAAGGGAGTTAAAACACAGAATATTTGTCAGCATATTGCAAGTACACATTTCTGTTGGGATATAAGACATTGTTACTTTCGGGTGAATGTGGAATATAAATTGGTATGAGTTGGTAAATTGTACCTCAAAGTGTAAATTTTAGGAATTTTGTATATGCTATGTCATTTTATAAAAATGAGTTATCCTTTTCCTTATCAGATGGAATTACCATGTGGATTGACGAATCTTGGTAACACTTGTTACATGAATGCTACAGTTCAGTGTATTCGTTCTGTGCCTGAACTCAAAGATGCCCTTAAAAGGTAAGGCCAAAGAGAAATGTTGTTAAGTCCTATTGGTAGGTAAGGGAGGTTCACATTTGGGTGAGTAGTGTTTAGTGTATACTTGTATGTATAGTTTTTGAGCAGCTTTATTTGAGATATTCATTTATTGTACAATTCATCTGTTTAAAATATTTGATTAAATGGTCTTTATTCATAGGGTTGTACAGCCATCCCCACAGTCTAAGTTTAGATTATTTTCTTCCTTCCTGAAAGAAACCTGTTGCTGAGCAGTCACTCGTTTTACCTTTCCCACTTCCAGCTCTAGGCAGCCATTTATCTACTTTCTGTCTTACACATTTGCCTTTTCTGGACATTTCATATAAATGGAATCATACAATAAATAATTTTTATGACTGGTTTCTTTTACTTAGCATAATATTTTCTGGGTTTATTCATGTTGTAGTATGTATGTCAGTACTTCATTTTTTAATGGCTGAATAATCTTTAACTCTATGGACATACCATATTGTGTTAATATGTGCATCTGTTGATAAACATTGATTAGTTTCCATTTTGAGGCTGTTATGATAATGTTAATAAGGAACATTCAGGGAGAAGATTTTGTGCAGACCAGTTGTTTTCATTTCTCTTGGATATGAGTGGATTACTTGGTCATGTAATAAGTCTTTGTTAAACAGCATTTTGAGAAACTGCCAAACTGCTTGGCACCATTTTCTCTTCTCACCAGCAACGTAAAAGAGTTCCAATTTCTCCACCTCCATGCCAATCTTTTTGTTCAGATGTCTTTGATTATAGTCATCCTAATGGTAAAATGGTATCTCATTATAGTTATCATTTGCATTTACCTAATGACTAGTGATGAGCATCTTTTTATGTATTTATTGGCTTGTATATCTTCTTTGGGGAAACGTCTGTTCAAATCCTTTATGTTTTTTTTAAACTCTAATCTTTTTTTTTTGTTTATTTTTGAGAGAGAGCATGTGTGCGTGCATACATGGGTGAGGGGGCCAGGGAGAGAGGGAGACAGAAGATCTGAAGTTGGCTCTGTGCTGACAGCAGTTAGCCCCACATAAGGGTCAAATTCACAAATAATGAGATCATGACCTGAGCCGAAGTTGGGCACTCAGCCAATTCAGCCACCCACGTGCTCTCTTGGTCTGTGTTTTAAATGGTTTTGTCTTTTTATTATTCAGTTATGTGTGCTTTATACGTTCTGGATGTAAAGTCCTTTTTCAGATAGATAATTTGCAGATATTTTCTTCATTTTGTGAGTTGTCTTCACTTTCTTGATGTTACTGATTTGTAACACAAGAGTTTTTAATTTTGATGTAGTTTAATTTTTCCGTGTGTGTGTGTGTGTGTGTGTCTTACATATGAAATAGTTGCCTAATCCTAGGTCACAAATATATGATCTTATATTTTTTTAAGAGCTATATAATTTCAACACTTAAATTTATGGCTCTGATCTATTTTCAGTCAGTCTCATACCATTCTTTTACAAATGGATATCCAGTTTTTTGAATACCTTTTGCTGATTCTTCTTTCCCTGATGAATTGCCCTAGCACCTTTATTGAAAATCATTTGACCATGATGTATATAATAAGGTTTATTTCTGGACTCTCAGTTTTAGTCTACAAACAAATACCTTTATTTGTATTGATTTGTCCTTATGCTGGTGAATAATTTTATACCACTATACAAAAGAAAAAAAATAGTAACCAGTTATCCATGTTTCGACAGCCTGTGAAATAGTCTGTAAATGAAGATTCTCCTCATTGAGTATAAATGTATATAACTTTTAAAAATGTGACTTAATTCTCAGCAAATTTATTACAACTGTCTTGGTGTATACATTGCCACATGTTAATGTAGGATAGAATTCTAAATTGCAGTTTGAATTCTTAAGCCAGATTTATGAATGCTGATTCTCCCCTCCCCCCTTTTTTTTTCCTTAGCAGCTTGTGGAAAGGCTTTGATAGAACTGGGCAGTAGAGAGGAAAGAGGATTATGCAGAAACCTGAGAGTAATTGAAAGTTTTCTAAATTTCTCTGAAGTGAATACTTGTTAGGTATTTGCGAAGTTGCCTAGGTTATAGCTGGTGTAGTAAACCAAGACACAGTACCTATCTTCAAGGCACTTACAGTTTAATTGAGAAAGACTGTTATGTTTGGTACTGTTTCAGAACTGCTTTGATGGGAAATGTTAGAGTTCTTTTTCCTCAGAGGTTTGTAGTTACTTTTCCACTATTTTTGTGTGCCCATAGGTACTTATGAGAGATCTAGTATCAGTCTCATTTCTTACTCTTTTCTGTTAATTTTTAAGGTTTTCTTTTAGGGTAGGTGTGAGGTTTTATTTATCTTCTTAGTGCTGAGTGAGCACTTCTAGTGTAAGGACTCTTGTCCTAAACGTTGGACAGTCTTGGCTGTTATTTCTTCAAATATTGTTTCTCCTTTATTTTATCTGGCTTCTCTTATATTCTGAATAATAGTTTCTGGATCTATTTTTCATGTTTCTTCTTTTTTCTCTGCACTTCGGATTTTTTATTTTACGTGCTGTGTTCTAGGAGAGTGCCTCAGTTCTATTTTACATTTCACGGAGTTGTGCATTAGCTTTGTGTCACAGCTACTTATCATAACTTTCTTTAATCTCACGTTTTTAATTTTGGATATGATTCCTGCTTTTCTTTCTCCGAGGTTCTGAAGTGTTCTTATTTAAAGGTTCCCCCCACCCCCACCCCCTTTGTTTGGACCTTTTAATTTAAACTCTGTTCTCTTAGATGTAAGGATTGATCTTCTCTCGTTTGTGTCAAGATTGTGTAGTTATCTTATGCAACCATGTTCTCTTCCTTATGTTTCATTCACAAATGAGTTGAATGAGCAGCTTATTGGGCAACTCTCTACACTGAAAGCTTGCTACTTGGAACAGACTTGCCTTACCTCCAAGACTTCTCTGTACTTCATCTGGGATATCTTCCAGCCTCTATTCCAGGGAGAACTCTTTCATGTTTTGGGGTTATTTCTCTGAGTTTTATAAACGGGAGATTTCATCCTATTGATTTAAGTTTTCTTGACCATGTGAAATATTTTTTGAATGCTAAGCTTTTACAGGTGGCCAGAAGCCCTTGTACTTAACTAACTTACTACAAGAGGACATGGATGAGGTTGTATGTTTTTGGAAAAATGGCACTAACTGATAAAATAGGAATGAAAGAAGAGAGAGAAACTTCCATGGAAGGTGTTTTACAACTGGCAATGCTGAAGCCCATCCTTAAATACTTAAGAATTTTTATTTGACAGGTTCTGGAGAGTGAGAGGTGTATATTGCTAAAGGATAGAAGGGAAATAGGCTAGGTTAGTTGAAGAGGCAGTGAGGGCCAAGAACCAGAGCTACAGGTAAAATCTAGTTTGCTTGAGCCTTCTTATTAGGATCAATGCCTCATGATAAGTAGGCATTCTAAATTTAGAACTAAAAAGTATGTGTGTGTATATATACATATATACTTAACCTTAAATCCTGTGAGTTACTTACAAAAGACCATATCACATGGCCATATTTTTATCTTACTAGAGATCTAGAGATTGGCAAGGCATGTCTTGGTAAGTACCACATAGTTTTTTCCTTAGCAATTACTAGGTTGATATTTTACTTGCATTTTCAAATTTGAATAGGAATGACCTGTTCTTCATAGAACCTAACTATAAAATTGGCTGGATGCGACCTTTTTATTTTTGGCATTTTAAATGAACATTTTCTGTCTTTTGGAATAAGTTTTGATTATTTTTTATGTTTTCCTATGAATTTGTCCTTATGTCTTTAAGATATTTTAGCATAAGAATTATCCATTTTTGGACCTGTATTTACCCCCATTTTCATTTTTGTTATATGTATTTTTTTCCCTGCATTATCTTGCCAGAGGTTTGTGTATTTTATTTTTCAAAGAATCAGCTATTTGATATATTCAGTCGCTTTTATTGATTGTTTGATTCATCCTACTTTTGTTTGTATTAACTTATCTCTGTTTCCCTTAGGCTTGTTTTATTTTCTGATTTCTTAAATTGTATGCTTAGATCATTTATTTGTTCTTGTGTAGTAATGAAAGTACAGTATTTAGTTCTAAGTTTTGTTTGCTGTTCCCTATTCATTAGATGAGGCTGTTCGCATGTTTTTTTGGGGGAAAAAAACACTATAAAATTCTTTTGACTCTGAATTCACTTTTTAATGATTGAATTTTAACATACAGAAATGTACATGAATGAATTATCCCAGAGTGGGCACATCTTTATAACCAACACAGACCAACAGAACCCTATCAGCCTCTAAAAATTCCCTCATAACTATCCCTTCCTGATGGCTACCTCCATTTTTCTGTTCAAAATTGTTAATGATAAATGTGACTTCTAACCTCATGGATTAATTTTGCCTATTAGGAACTCTTTATACACAGAAATATGGATGGTGTTAATTTGGGCCTGGCTCTTTTTTTTTTTTTTGTCTTAACCGTGTGTATGTACTTGTAGTTGATGGATGTTCATGCTGTGTACTATGCCACCACATGCATCTACTACAAAATATCTGTTTCTATTGATGAATGTTTGGGTTTAGCTGATGTATGATTGATTATTGTATTTCACAGATGGTTGAAAAGTCAAAATGTCCTCTTTTTTGTAGGTAATAAAGTATAATAGACATTAAGCTTATTAATTACATTTGAATTTTCTATATCATTTAGTTTTTATTTCTTGATTTCGTAAAGACTTTCTTAGAAAAAGTACTCTTACTTTTTTTTATTTTCTGTAAAACCTCTCAGTATTTCTGTTACATCTCTCCGTATTCTTTTCAATTTCTTTTTTTTCTTAACAGTTTGTCTTTGTAAAGTTCAACTGTTAATGTTATTTGGCTTATTGGTTTTATCTTAATTAGGAATTAAGTATTTTCTTGGTAGGGTGGTTCAATCAATTAAGCATCAGGTCATGATTTCGTGGCTGGTGAGTTCGAGCCCCACATCGGGTCCTGTGCTGACATCTCAGAGACTGGAGCCTGCTTCAGATTCTCCCTCTCTCTGCCTCTTTCCTGCTTGTGCTCTGTCTCTCTCTGTCTCTGTCTCTCTCTGTCTTTCTCGGTCTCTAAAAAATAAGCATTAAAAAAATGAAAAATGTTTTCTTGGTATAATGAGAGGTTTTTGGTGGGAAGGTAGTACTAAATGAATTATGCTTTTCCTATTCTTCATGACTTAAAAAAAAGAGAAGATAATTCATTAGTATAGCCCTTGCCATAAATGCAGGAATAGTTACGTAGTAATGTTATCCTGTACCTAGAAGTAAAATTCAGTAACAACAGCAGTTATGTCATTATATACTTCAGTGATGTTTTGGGATACACTTGCTTTATTAGTACTTTAACTTCAGAAGTGCCTATTAAGAAGTTGTAAACTAAGAGGGAAACTATTATGATTTTCACTTTTTAAAATGAATATATATAATTTAGACATTGTTATGAATTGTGTATTGAAAAATTTTAAAAAACTTGAGTCCTGGCAATTTTCAAAATCTCTAGACAAACAGAACTTTTCAGTTGGTTTAATTTGACATATTTTCTGTCACCTTTTTCACTCTGTTTACATAAGCATAGACATCTTTAAATTTTACTTATTTTTTATTTTAGGGAAAGTGTGCACACGAGTAGGGGAGGGGGCAGCGAGGGGGGTAGAGAGAGAAAGAAAGAAAATCTTAAGCTGTCTCCGTGCTCAGCATGGAGCCTAACGCAGGGCTCGATCCCGTAACCCTGGGATCAGTTGAAATTAATTCAGATGCTCAACTGAACGAGCCACCCAGGTGCCCCAAAGTTTTTTTCTTTTTAAATTGAAATGTAATTTACATTTAGTAAATACCTTGTATTTGGTGTGATCAGTTTTGATAAATGCAAATATCTGTAACCCATTTTACAAGTTACAGAACATTTCCCTCATCCCAAGAAGTTTTTATACTTCTACCTTTTCCCAGTCCTCATCCCCACCCACTACTCAACTGCACACAGCTATTGATACGTTAGTTTTCTGCATTCAGGAATTGGAGTGTACAGAATATATTTTTAGTTTGTTGTAGTTCAGTTAGCATAGTTTTTGAAATTTATCCATGTTATTGATGGTATTGATCATTCTTATGGCTCTACATTCTTGCCAATCTTGGTTGATACTCTTCTTTGTCATGTTATTCCCTCTAGTGGGTGTGTGGTACGTGAGCATAATTTTTTTTTTTTCTGAGAGAGAGAGTGATATAGCATGAGCAGGAGAGGGTCAGAGAGATAGGGAGACACAGAATCCGAAGCAGGCTCCAGGCTCTGAGCAAGCTGTCAGCACAGAGCCCGACGCAGGACTCGAACCCACGAACTGTGAGATCATGACCTGAACTGAAGTCAGACACTCAACCAACTGAGCCACCCAGGCGCCCCGAGCATAATTTTAATCATAGTGAATAGGCAGTCATTCTCCTACCCCATGGTGTTGGATAAATGAATGATAATTTCTGATCCCATGTCATAAGACATTGTATAAATAAATACTAGCTTGATTATTTCCTTTGGATGACCAGTCGTTTGTGTTGTTGTAAATTAACTGAGAATTATAAATTAGAAATTATTTAACAGAAACACTCACTTATAGGTAAGCAGACAGACTTGAAAATTAAGGGACTTATTTAATGTTACATACAAAGTTAATGCTGAATGTAGGTATCTTGACTTTGATTTAATGTTTTTGATCTAATGCTTTTTTTCTTTGTTATTTCTGAAATTGTATTTTATTTTCTTTGTAATAATGGATATGAAATGCTTACTTTTTTGTTTCATATTGTTTTTAGGAATTAAAAAAATTTTCTTTTTAAGTTTATTTGTTATGAGAGAGAGTGAGCGAGCAGGGGAGGGGCAGAGAGAGAGGAGGTAGAGTTCCAAGAAGGCTCTGCACTGTCAGCACTGAGCTTGACTTGGGGCTCAGACTCAAAAATGTGAGATCATGAGCTGAGCCAAAACCAAGAGTTGGACGCTTAACCAACTGAGCCACCCAGGCACCCCCCCTGCCTTTTTTAAACGTTTATTTGGAGAGGGAGAGGGAGAGAGAGAGAATCACAAGCAGGCTCTGTGCTGTCAGCGCAGAGCCTGATGGAGGGCTCAGTCCCCTGCACTGTGAGATCATGACCTGAGCCCAAACCAAGAGTCAGAGTCTCAACTGACTGATCCTCCCAGGCACCCCTAAATTCCCTTTTTTCCTAGTGTTCTTTTTTGCCTTTATAATTGTTAATGGAACAAGACCAAAAGAAAAGGAAGTATAAAGGTGGGAACAACTCTGATAAACTTGCAGTTGAAGGTATCATAATAAGCTCTTTTAACTAGTTTCTTCTCATTTGAGTTTCAGAATGAATTTGAATCCTATTTAATTCTGCCTAATGTTTCTAGGTATGCAGGTGCCTTGAGAGCTTCAGGGGAAATGGCTTCAGCACAATATATTACTGCAGGTCAGTATCTTAAATATACTTCTTTTTGAGAGGGCAGTGTAGTATTCAAAAAGTGTTATTTTTCACTCATAGTTTGTTTAGTAGCTTTCAGTTTACAAAATGTGTTTTGTAAAATATTGTCTCATTAAAATCAGAGTACTTATACTTACATTTTATTTTATTATCCAAATTATAAACCATTGATGTCTGTCTTTTCTGGAAAAACATTCTTTGGGTTTTTTGGAATAAATTTAATTTTGGCCTTAAGTTCTATTAGTAAGACATATCTCTGGGGATAGCCAGAGGTAGGTTTTATTATAGTTGATGCAGCCATTATAAGAGAGAGTCTAGGGTTAGTGTAAGAAGGTGGTGTATGAAGTATGAGGAGAAACAAGTTCTTAAAGCATGGGAATAACATTTCTTCATTACATGAGACCATTCGTTTTGGGATGGTTTTACAAGTGAATACTTTAAGTCATTGGGTTAGATTGATAAGCTATTTTTATGGCTGCATCTCTTTTTTTGTTTGTAACAGCTTAATCGAGATACAGTTCACATACCATACAATTTATGCACTTAAAGTGCACGATTCGTCTTTTAGTAGCCTCAGAGTTGTGCAGCCACCACCACAGGTCCATTTTAGAACATTTCATCACTTTGAAAAAGAAACTCTGTAACCTTTAACAGTCACCCTATTTTCCCATCTCCACCCCCAGCCTTTACAGCCCCCCAGCCTTTACAGCCACTCAGCTGTAAAGACTGACAGCTACTGTCAGTCTCCAGATTGCCTATTCTGGATTTTTGACAAAAATGGAACTTATAATATATGGTTTTTTTGGAGTGGCTTCTTTCACTTAGAATGTTTTCAAGGTTCATCCACAATGTAGTACGTATTAGTGCTTGATTCCTTATTGCTGAAAAAGATTCCATTGTAGGGATATATTGTATTTCATTTGTCCTTTCATCAGTGATAGGCATTTGGGTGGTTTCCACTTTTGACTTGTAAGTATTGCTAAAAACTTTTACAAGCATTTCTTTGGACATGATTTTTACTTCTCTTGGGTATATATCTGCGAGTGAAATTGCTGGGTCATATGGTAACTATACACTAATTTTTGGGGAATTGCCAGGCTGTTTTCCAAAGCAGCTGCATCATTTTATATTTCTTCTAGCATGAAGTGAGGGTTCCCATTTCTCTGTATTGTTAATAATACTTGGTATTGTCTGTCTTTGATTATAGCCTGCCTACGGGTGTGAAGTGATATCTCTTTGTGGTCAGCTGCTAATTTGTAATACTATGAAAACAGTATGTTTCTTTGTGTCATTTGTAGTTAGAGATTTTTCCTTTGACCATTTTTGTTCCTGAAAGGTTTAATTTGTTGGAACTTTTTAATGAAGAAAATATTATCGTTTTTATCTAGTTTACTTGTTTGCTTTTGTATCTGAGAGTAACTTGGAATTTCAGCAACTTTTCCATTATTCTCTAAGAGGCTTGCAGTATTGATGAGATGGAAGATACTGTTTTTCATTTTTAAATCTTACTTTGTGTTAACTTTTTTTAATGTTTATTTATTTTTAAGAGAGAGACAGAGACAGAGTGTGAGCAGGGGAGGGGCAGAGAGAGAGGATGACAGAGATTCTGAAGCAGGCTCCAGGCTCTAAGCTGTCAGTACAGAGCCCGACTTGGGCCTCAAACTCCTGAGCCATGAGATCATGACCTGAGTCAAAGTTGGATACTTAACTGACTGAGCCATCCAGGTGCCCATGTGCTAATTTTTAAAAAATGTTTATTTATTTATTTTGAGAGAGAGACAGAGTGTGAGCGGGGAGGGCATTGAGAGAGAGGAGGGAGGGAGAATCCTGAGCAGGCTCCTCACTGTCAGCACAGAGCCCCATGTGGGGTTTGAATCCATGCCATGGGAGATCATGATCTGAGCTGAAACCAAGAGTTGGATGCTTAACTGACTGAACCACCCAGGGACCCCTGTTTTGTGCTAAATTTAACTTTACAGAACAGTTCGAAGAATTCACCAATTACTAACTTTTTGTCATACCTGGCTCATTGTCTGTAACCATGTTTTTTTTGTTTTTGTTTTTTTGTTTTCTTTTTTTGAACCTTCAAGAGTAAGGTGCAGACATCCTGGCTGATTGCTGAATACTTCAGTATGTATTTCCCAAGAATAAGGACATTCATAATCACAAGACAATTATCATTTTTCAGAATCTAGGAGTTTAACATGGATAAAGTACTCTAAAATACAGACTACTTAAATTTTGGCAGTTGATCCAGTATTCCCATTATAAAGTTCTTTTCTTTGGGAGCCAGTTTAGGATCACATGTATTTAGTTGTTGCGTCTTACTAGTCTCTTTCAATGTATAGTGCATTTTTGACCTTTTTCTTTCAAACTAATGAAATACTTTGAGATGCCCTGTTTATGGTATATATTAAATTTTAAATCACTTTTTATTTTGAGTAATGTGTAATTTAAAGTGTTACTATAATTTAGGTTGTTTGTTTTAAAAATCATAAGGTTGGTAGTGAAGTTTAATTTTTGCTCTCTCTTGAAAAAAAATTTTTTTTAAATGTTTTATTTGTTTCTGAGAGAGCGTGAGCAGGGGAGGGTCAGAGAGAGAGGGAGATACAGAATCCGAAGCAGCCTTCAGGCTCTGAGCTAGCTGTCAGCACAGTGCCCGGCGCGGGGCTCAAACCCAAGAACCATAATTCATGACCTTAGCTGAAGTCGGATGCTTAACCGACTGTACCACCCAGGTGCCCCAGAAAAAAACATTTTTAAACACCACGTTGTCTTATTTGGGAACATTTTATGGAGCACTGGCTTTGTCCTGAGATGTATTTACTGGGCTTCAGTTTGTATATGATAATGATGGATAACATTTCACATATTCGTTAACAAAATGAGTCCAGCCTGGAATTTTTAATAAGGGCAATGTGTGAAAAGTAGGGAGTTTGCAGAGCAGGAATATTCTGAACTCCCAGAGCAGGCCTGAGTCCATGACCATGAGATTTTATGAATGTGAGGGAGGATAGCAGAGGGAAGACTTTTAAGAAGGCAAATTAGCTTCAATTCTTAACTATTCAGTAGAGTTAGGATGTATGTTTAACAGATCTTAATATTTAGGAGTTGAGTAGTTGGGAACTAAGTATGCGCTGAAGAGGAGGTTGGTTGGGAGTGGTGGCCTGATAGTGGCTTAGTACCAAAACAGTAACATCAGCCTGTTTAATCTCTAGACAGAGGTTATGTGTTCTCTGTGTTGAATGAATATACCATGCTTTGTTTTAGAAGACAAAGGCTGGCAAGGAGAGAGACAGAGGGGCAGGGGTCAGAAGTTGTTTATAGTTAGTGCATTATAAAGTCTTTAGGTCAATTCGTTAAGTTTTAAAAACAAATCTTTTTCTTACTTGCAATCTGAAAACTACAAAAGGAGTCGATATACTTAAAATTTTTTTTATGTTATTTAAAAAAATTTTTAATGTTTTTTAATTTATTTCTGAGAGAGAGAGAGGCAGCGTGAGCAGGGGAGGGTCAGAGAGAGAGGGAGACACAGAATCTGAAGCAAGATCCAGGCTCTGAGCTAGCTGTCAGCAGAGCCCGATTTGGGGCTCGAACCCACAAACTGTGAGATCATAACCTGAGCTGAAGTTGGGTGCTTAACCGACTGAGCCATCCAGGCGCCCCTAATGTTTATTATTTTTGAGAGAGAGACAGAGTGGGAGCGGGGAAGGGACAGAGAGAGAGGGAGACACAGAATCTGAAGCAGGCTCCAGGCTCTGAGCTGTCGGCACAAAGCACGATGTAGGGCTTGAACTCATGAACTGTGAGATCATGACCTGAGCCAAAGTCAGAGGTTAACCGACTGAGCCACCCAGGTGCCCCAAGGAGTAGATGTACTCAAAAGTACTCAGCGGTTTTGGGTTTGTATTAATCTGGAATTAATTTATATTAACCAGTATTAAATATGTCCCTGTTTTACTAAGCAGTGTTTGCTTTGTTTTTTAAGCTCTTAGAGATTTGTTTGATTCCATGGATAAAACATCTTCTAGTATTCCACCTATTATCCTACTGCAATTTTTGCACATGGCTTTCCCACAGTTTGCAGAGAAGGGCGAACAAGGACAGTATCTTCAACAGGTAAACAGGGCAAGGTTCTGGGGTTTTCACTTTGTAAATGTAAAACCTAGGTGTTGTACACTTACCATATTTATTTGAATTTCCAAATACACTCCAGTTATCAGTCTTCTCTGGTCCATACTGTCATTATCTCTTGCCTGGAGTGGTCTCTGTTAACTGATCATCTCGCTTCTGCTTTTGTCATCTGCAGTGTTTCTCCACACAACCTTTAGAGTCCCTTTTAAACTGTAAATAGGCTTATGTTGGTCTCTTGTTATTGTCTCTTAGTGATTTTCTATCCCAATCCTGAATAATCTTGCTCCTGGCTGCGTCTCTGAGTTCACCATGTGCCACTCTCCCCCTTGCTTATTACCTTGGCTCTCCTCTACAGTGGCTTCATTGCAATTTTTTAAACCCTCCACACATCCTCTTTCTGTAGGGTCTTTGACTTTCAGATCAGTGCATGGCTTGCTTCCTCACCTCGTTTAGGTCTTCTGGCTCAAATGTCCAGGCATCAGAGAAGCTTTCTTGACTATCCTATTGAAATAGCACACTTCCTTTCCCACTTTCTGCTTCCATATTGCTTTTATTTTTTCTTTGTAACTCTTCTCTTAAGGTGAATTTATGTTACATTTTATTTATATCCCCCTTGAGAACTTCTTCTGTTTTGGTCACTGCTGTGTTCATTCTTAGTGTCTCAAGCAGTGTTTAGCATAAGGTGGAGCTCAGTGAACCTCTCTTGAATGAATGAATAAATATTCTGGAATTCTTCATTGTTTTGAAGATCATATAATATCTCATTTGACTTAATATTTTTAAATAAAAATAGCTTTCTTCCCTTTCCCTAAGGAAACTGTAATCCTTTTGGAAGGATCTTAAAAAAGATACAACACTTACAGCCAGGATTATTTACTGTGTCATTTTAAAATTACAGGATGCTAATGAATGTTGGATACAAATGATGCGAGTATTGCAACAGAAATTGGAAGCCATAGAAGATGATTCTGTTAAAGAGGTGACTGAAATCTATTTGTGCTTATAGACTTCCATTATACCTTGATTTCACCCCCCTCGCCAATTCCAAAGGCTTAATAAATTTGTCTTAATACACATGTGCTTGAGTACTGTAAATGTTCAGTCCCATAGTTGGAATTTGAAGGCCTGCATTTGACACTTGAATGCAGTGTATTTGTTAAACATAATTGATATTATTGAGCATCTACAGTCTTTTGGTAATGTTTTTTGAACAGAAGGATTTTACAGAAAGGGCTTACATTCTGAAAAGCTTAAATATGTAATTACTAAACTGGATTATGTAGGAAGAAATATACATTAGTATCTGTATAAAGTAAATTAGGAATTTTTGTTTTAATTTTTGCAGACAGATTCTTCATCTGCATCAGCAGTGACACCTTCTAAAAAGAAAAGTTTAATTGATCAGTTCTTCGGAGTTGAGTTTGAAACTACGTATCCTTATGAACCAAGATTTGTAGAGACTGTACTCATAACTTACTAGAAGTGAATTGGTATCAGTAGCATTGTTGACTGTTTGACGTGGTGGGTGGGGTATGAAGAGAAATTCTTCAGAGGTTTTATGCCTGAAAAATGTGGCGAAACTTAGGAATTTGGAAAAATACACACATTAGAGTAATCCTAATATTTAGGTAAGTGTATACTTTGAAGATATTCATTATTTTTTCCTAAGAACATCTTTAGTGGAGTCGACCTCATTAATTCACTTCATAGAGAATTAATTTTTAATTGTATGAAATAATGCATCAGACAGATTATAAACATGAGACTGAGACAATAAAACATGAATTCATGAATTTGGGGAAGGACTGTTTTCTTGGTCATGGGTAGAAACTTACAGATTTCTGTTTGTGTCTTAGTGTTAAAACCATTTTAAAACTATGAGTACCAAACATTTACTTACAGTTTATCCTACTGCATACCCGTTACTCATATTGTTGGTAAGTCAATGTAGCACTTTTAAGTATGTTGAAATGAATTTACTTGGAAACCAAAATGTTTTAAATACCAGTGAATGATGCTATTAATTTTTTTAAATTCCAGTATAGTTAACATACAGTATTACATTAGATTCAGGTGTATAATATAGCAATTCAGCAGTTCTATACATTACTCAGTGCTCATTCTCCTATTTCACCCACATCCTCTCTAGTAACCATCAGTTTGTTCTCTGTAGCTAAGAGGCTGTTTCTTGGTTTGTCTTTCTTCTTTTGTTTCTTAAATTCCACATATGAGTGAAATCATATGGTATTTGTCTTTCTCTGACAGACTTATTTCACTTAGCGTGATAGCCTAGATCATCAGTGTTGTTGCAAATCTCAAGATTTCAGTCTTTTTTATGGCTGAATAATATTCCTGTGTGTGTGTGTGTGTGTGTGTGTGTGTGTGTGTGTGTACACATATATACATATATATACACCACATCTTTATCCATTTATCCATCAATTGGGCTACTTCCATAATTTGGCTGTTGTAAATAATGCAATAAACATGGGAGTGCATATATGTCTTTTTGAATTAGTGTTTCCATAGTCTGTGGATAAATACCTAGTAGTGGAATTACTGGATCATATGGTTGTTCTATTCTGTGTTACACCGTGGCTGCACCAGCATGCATTCCCACCAACAAACCGTTCACTAGGGTTCCTTTTTCTCCACATCCTTGCCAACACTTTTGATTTTAGCCATTCTGACAGATGTGAGGTGAGACTGTGGGTTTGATTGGCATTTCCCTGATGATTAGTAATGTTGACCATCTTTTCATGTATTGGCTATCTGTATATCTGCTTTTGAGGAACGTCTATTTATGTCTTCTGCCCATTTTTAATTGGATTTTTTTTTTTTGGTGTTGTAGAAGTTCTTCATATATTTTGAATACTAACCCTTTATTGGCTTTGTCATTTGCAGATATTAATGCTATTGCTTTTAATAGCATTAGGATAATTTATTATATTCAAGATAATATAACAAATTGAATGCCTGTTGGTATATTCCTTATCTTATTTCTCAAGCATGAAATGTACAGAATCTGAAGAAGAAGAAGTCACTAAAGGGAAGGAAAATCAGCTTCAGCTTAGCTGTTTTATCAATCAAGAAGTCAAGTATCTTTTTACAGGACTTAAATTGGTAAGCTCAGTTACAGTTGATTCTAATTATAAATGGATTCTCTATTTGCAGATGCATCTACTTACTAAAATTTATTTTTACCTCCTAATATTAATACTTGTGGTGCTTTCATGGTCATTTGGAGACATGTTCCAGAGTGGCAAAAATTTTGAGTTGCTGGACACAGTCTCACCTGAGGTCCAAAAGGTGATGCTCTGCTTTCTTGTTTCAGCTCATAAGCTATAAGCAAGTCACCTTTCACAGTAATTTTAGTACCACTTTTTTTTTTTTTTTTTTTGGCATTTTGTGCTTTATGTTGGTGATTTGCTGTTTAAAATGGCCTTGAGCCAAAGTGCTGAAGTGCTGTCTAGTGTTCTAAGTCCAAGAAGACCGTGTGTCAGTGTTTGTTACATAAGCCTTAAGGAGAAAATGTTTGCTAGATAAGCTTTGTTCAGGGATGAATTATAGTGTAGTTGGCTGTGAAGAGGATGTTAATGTGTCAACATATGCTGTTATTAAATGGAAACACACATGACCCCAAGGTTGTGTGTTGTGTATGTAATAGGTTGACAAAAATGTTGTGACCAGAGGCTTGCAGGAGGCCCTAGGGTATTATGATGAGGGTGTATTAGTAATGATGAGTTATAAACTGGGATTGCACTATGCAAATCAGACCATGTGGGTCCTCTGCCACTGCATCGGTATTGCAGTTGAGGCCCCAGAATGTAAGTGACTTAATTAGTTTGTGGCAGAGCCAGGTCTAGAACTTGATAACTGTCATTATCCAGTTCTTACTCCTTCCCCATTTCCATATTGCAGAATGCATTCTTTAATGAGAAGATTGATAAAATTTAAAAATTTTACTTGCTAATTTAGTACTTTGGTTTGGGAAATATATACATGTCTTGAAGATAGGCAGTGAATTGAGGAAGGGATTGCATTGATAAACAAGATAATTTGTCATCAGGGAGTTCCCATCTACAGTTTTTGGATAAGATTGGTTGGGGGGGTTGGTAAATGTGGACCTAAGAGGCAAATTAAAAGTAATATTCTGTGCTCTGTGATACTGAAGGGGGGTTGTAATGATGCCTAATGGCTTTTAAGAGAAGTTTTATTTTAAAAGCTTACAAATAAAAGCTAACCACTAAGAGTCCTATAACAGATCATGATGTGTAAGTTTCAAGGCATCAAATCATGAAGTATATAAAGGTAATTGGTGACTGTAGAATGGAATGAAATGCTTTGGCAAGAACTCTCCAGGACGATATTTTTCTTCATAGTTTTATAAAATATTGGAAAAGCTAAATGTCCTTGACTCTTCTAAAATGATAGTGGATTGGTAATTCATATACCTTGCCTGATGAATAACATCACACCAGATGTGCTTTCTTGAAGAGCATGTATTTAACAGATACTGTATTGTTTTGCCCATTTTTTAAATAATTTCTAAAAGATGTGTATGTATTTATTTTGAGAGAGAGTGAGTGAGTGGGGGAGAGGCAGAGAGAGAGTTTGATAGAGAATCCCAAGCAGGCTCTGCACTGCCATCACAGAGCCTGATGCAGGGCTCGAACCCATGAACCATGAGATCATGATCTGAGCTGAAATTAAGAATTGGATGCTTAACCAACTGAGCCACTCAGGCACCCCATGTTGCCCATTTTTTAGATGCTTTATTATCATTTGTTCTGATTATTCTAGAGTAATTTGGCCCCATATTTCTTTACGGTTTTTGCTGAGGAATAAACTTGATTAAATGTTCAGCTACATAGTAATTCCTTTTGTAATATGATTAGTAATTTTTAAAAATTAAAAAATATTTTACACAAGTAATATTTTTATAGTAAACATTAGCAATAAATTGTTTTAACTCAAATTTCTTGCATATTAAATGTTTTTATAAAGCAGAGCACATTAGTGGGTTTTTTTTGATATGAGAAATAGTAGCTAATGTTTATTGAACATAGAATATATGCCAAATGGTTGTCCATGTTTTCTACACATATCAACTCATATAATTCTAACAATAGCACTGTGATACGTATGTTCCTATTATCATTTCCATATGATGTACAGAGGGGTAACTGCCTTGCTGAGTATTACATAGGCCGTAAGAAATGGAAAAGCAGACATGATGCTTAAGATATGTTGGGAAGCCTGGGTGGCTCAGTTCATTAAACTTTGGACTTTGGCTCAGGGCATGATCTCACAGCTCATGGGTTTGAGCCCCACGTCAGGCTCTGTGCTGCTAGCTCAGAGCCTGGAGCCTGTTTTAGATTCTTTGTCTCCCTCTCTCTCTGCCCCTTCGCCATTCACACTCCATCTCTCTCTCTCAAAAATAAACATTAAAAAAATATGTATAATGGCTAAATGCTTTCCGCATTTGTTAGATTAACAGGTTTTCTCTGTGATGACTTTTCTCCTATTTAATAGTGATTGGTTGGTTCTAGAAGGCTTTTATTCATAAAGTATAAAGAGCAAGGGTTTCCTGCATTCTCTTAATTGTCCTTTAATGAGAATATTCTGATAATCTGTATGTAGACAGAAGCCATAAAAGTCTTTTTTATGTTATATAAAATACAGTATAAACTCAGAATATGAGCAACCCTTGGGTCACAATTTAAAAACTTCAAACATTACTTATATTCTGAGGAGTTCACACCAGTATAAATTATTTGATGTCTCTTAAGAACTGAACTGAATCTAAAAGCGTTCCTACATTGTCTTCATTCAGGTGATTTTTTTTTAGCAGTATAAATCCATTGTCATATATTGTCTAAAAGAATTAAAAGAGTGATTCCAGGGGCACGTGGCTGGCTTAATCAGTAGTGCATGTGATTCTTGATCCTCAAGATCATTAGCTCAAGCCCCACTTTGGGCATAGAACTCACTTAAAAAAAAAAAAATGTGTTTTTACAATGCAGAAAAATTTTTTTAAAACTAAAAATGTTTGGTCTTCCGTTACATTCTTTTTTTTCTTTGTTTTTTTTTTTTAAGCGACTTCAGGAGGAAATCACCAAACAGTCTCCGACATTACAAAGAAATGCTTTATACATCAAATCTGTAAGTTGTGCATTCCTTTTGACATCAAATCCATTTTGATGAGAGGTTTCCAGTTAATGTTACCCAGTCTTTGCTTTTAACCAAACCGAGGAGTTAAAAACTTGTGTAGTATTTGCGTGTGATAGGATTTCTTTATTTTTTCTTCTCAGTCCAAGATCAGCCGACTACCTGCTTACTTGACTATTCAGATGGTTCGATTTTTTTATAAAGAGAAGGAATCTGTGAATGCTAAAGTTCTTAAGGTTAGTAATGAGCTTTAGTATAATAAAATATTATAATTCTTTGATGGAAATCCCTGAATTACAGTAGGTTTCTTCCTTTAGGGATAAACTTTCTTCAAAATACTATAAGGGAGGTTATTAACATTAGATAAGTTGTTCTTAATTAACCAAGACTGTGTATTGGAATTATCTATTGTCCTTTTTTAAATCCTACACATGCCTGACTTTCACCACCAGCACCCCCAGCACTGATTAAATAGGCCCTGAGGTCTGAGAATTTTTGCGAAAGATTTCCAGTTAATTCTGATGGATGCCCTTCACTCCCCAGAAACACTGCTCTAGAGTAGATCCTCAACTCTATAGATATTGACCCAGCAGGTTTGAGGGTTGAGAGTGTGTGGTAGGGGGCATTATAACACACTTCACTCTCTATTAGTGCAATAATTGTAATCTCTTTAGTAAGAGCCAGCCTTATGATATAGCTGTTTTATGGAACTATAGCTCTGCTACATATCTGCAGTCTTTGATCCTTGGGAGAGGTGAAATTCATAATATAATTTAAGATATACTTAGTGTTCTATGATAAGATTAAATGTAGTTGGGAGTATTTACAGTGTTAACTATAAATATGTATTAGTATTAGTTATTGAACTGTACCACTCATTTCAAATTACAAAAAGGTCATTAAATGAACCCATTTATAAATTGATTTCTATTGTCAGTTTTGGGTATCCATTATTTTTACAGCAACTGATCTAATGTTTTTTTGTTTTTGCTTTTTTTAAGTTAATTTTTATTTTTGAAAGAGCAAGAGTGTGCACAAGCCGGGGAGGGGCAGAGAGAGAGGGAGAAACAGAATCGAAGCAGGCTCCAGGCTCGTGCAGAGCCTGATGTCGGGCTCAAATCCATAAATTGTGAGATCATACATAACATGAGCTGAAGTCGAGTTTTTAACTGACTGAGCCATCCAGGTGCCCCTGATCTAATGTTTCTGAAATGCTTCTTTTGTCATATAAATTTTGGTAATTCCTCTGTGGTTAATGTTATGGGTTAGAGTACTGGAAAAAAAAGTGAAAAAAATTTGAAAAGCTAGGACCAGGGTGCCTGACCCCGTTGGTAGAGCATGTGACTCTTGATTTTAGGGTCCTGCGTTCAAACCCCAAGTTAGGTGTGGAGCCTATTTGAAAAAAAATTAGGACCAGATTGAAAATACGCACTGTGATGTTTTCAGCTACATAGATTTCCAAGTGATTTTTATAAATTTTATTTTCAACTTATGTTGAATTATGAAAGTACTATTTAAAAAATGTTATAGGTATTTTAAATAACTACCTTTATAAGTGGGTTTACATATTTTTTTTTCTTTTTGGTTTGTATATAGGATGTTAAATTTCCTCTTATGTTGGACGTGTACGAACTATGTACACCAGAACTTCAGGAGAAAATGGTCTCTTTTCGATCAAAGTTCAAGGATCTAGAAGATAAAAAAGTGAATCAGCAACCAAAGACCGTAGGTTTTTATTGCTGATTTTCTCATCTTAATATTTCAATCTTCAATCATTGTTCAACAATTACTTTCTTACTGTTAAACTCTTAGTAAAAATGGATGAACCTCTATTTTATTTAGCACACAAAGTTTTGGGTATACTTTAACGTAAGAAAAAGAATTCTAGTTATGGTATATGGGCTCTTTATGGTAGAATAAGCCCCTAATATTTATTTTTTCCCTGTAATTTATAGATTAAACTTCTTTTATATTTATCTTCTCAAAGCACATCACATAAAATCTTGCCTAGTATTTTTAGTGTATTTTATTGTTTTCCTTATAAGTCACAGAGTTATCTCTATTTTAAGATCGAATTCATGTTGTAGAAATTTGGCTCATTTATGTCTACTGGGACAACTAAGTTATATCTTATAGTAAATGCTGCTGGTGTGCCTGCCTTTAACTGCTAAAATCACAACCTTAGGAGACTTTATATTTAATAAGTTGTATTATTTTAGGTTCAGATAAGGTACAGCTGAACTGTGTGTTGGATTCTTATTTTTTTCCCGTATTGAAAAAGATCTTTCCTGGGAACTACGGATATTTCCAGTGTGATATTGTGTATCAAGTTTAAAATTAAATTCTTCTGCAAAAAACTTTGTGTATTAAATGCTTTTATTTTTAAGCATTAAGCTTTGTTTTGAGATAATTACAGAATCACATGCAGTTAAAAGAAATTACATGAAGAGATGCAATACCTTTTACCAAGTTTCCCCTGTGGTAACATCTTGCAAAAGGATAATACAATATCACAACCTAGAAATTGACACTGATGTAGTCTAGATATAGACATTTTAATCAACCAAAGTTTCTGCATACTGCCCCTTGTGGCCAAACCCACTTTTCCCTTGGGCCCTACCTCCTCCTCAATTTCTAGCACCTACTAACCTGTTCTCCATTTCTATAATTTTGTCATTTCAAGATCATTATATAATGGAATCATATAGTATGTAACCTTAAGGGATTTTCTTTTCTCAGCATAATTCTTTGGAAATTAGCCTAGGTCATTTTGTAGAGGAGTACTTCTTGCTTTATTGTTGCTGAATAGTATTCCATGGTATGCATATACCACAGTTTATTTAACCATTCAGCTATTGAAGGACAACTAGGTTGTTTATTGTGAATAAAGCTACTATTAGCATTCATGTGCCAGTTTCAGTGTAAACATAAATTTTCATTTCTCTGGGAATAAATACCCAGAAGCACAATTGCTAGATTGCATGGTAGTTGTATATTTAGTTTTTTTAGTAACTGTCAGATGTTTTCCATAGAGGCTATACCATTTTAGATGCTCACAAGCAGCATGTGACTGATCCACTACCTGCATTCTTGCCAGAATTTGGTGGTGTCATTATTCTTTATTTTAGTCATTTGTATAGGTTTGCAGCAATACCTCATTGTGGTTTTAAATTTGCGTTTTCCTAAGGGCTGATATTGAATGTATCTTCATGTATTTATTTGCTATCTGTATTTCCTCTTTGGTGAAATGCTTTTTCATGTCTTCTCACTTTCTAATTGTACTATTTTTTACTCTTGAATTTTGAATTCTTTATATATAGATTGTGTGTGTGTGTGTATGTTTTTTAAAGTTTAACATTTATTTTTGAGAGAGGGAGAGACAGAGTGTGAGTGGGAGAGGGGCATAGAGAGAGGGACACACAGAATCTGAAGCAGGCTCCAGGCTCAGAGCTGTCAGCACAGAACCTGATGCGGGGCTCGATCTCATGAACCGTGAGATCATGACCTGAGCCAAAGTTGGACGCTTGATGGACTGAGCCACCCAGGCACCCTTAGACCATTTACATTTAATGTAATTATTGATTTCTTAAATCTGTGTTATATTTTGTTTTCTCTTTGTTTTTCATTTCCTTTATTGCCTTGTGGTTACCTGAACATAATATAGAATTCTAATTTATCTATAACTTGTAGAAGATGATTTTCTTTCTATGGCTTTTCCTATGGTTGCTCTCAGTATCAAATATTAATTATATAAAAGGAATGGTTGACCTAATTGCCTTTTTTTAATTGTAGGATCCTTTGACGTCTTGTCATTCCACCTGTCTCTAAACCGCTTGCATTTGTTCATTACCATTATAGTTTCCAAGAACTTTGTGCCCATTTGCCTAGATAAGTTTAATTTTTGTATTACACACTGAAATGGTTGAGGCAGGGAGAGTTCCTACTATAACCTTTGTCTAAAGTAGTAAATCCTGTCTTTCAATATTAGGTAAATATGTGCTGAATTAAAGATTTTTAGTTCCTTTAAGCTAAGATCATTCAGTTCATTTGAGCAGCTGACTGTGTCTTGTAGATTTAATGTTGCAGTAATTTGACTTTCCTTTTTTATTGATGTAGCCCTTTTTTTTCTTATGTGGTTTGATAGTATTTTGATTAAAATATAGACTTGGGTTTTCCTTCTCTGTTCTAGACCAGTTTATCTGTGCTGCTGTATTCACTGGTGTGCTCTAGGTTTAGTGGCTTATAGTTGGGCAGAAGGTCTGTTACTATACATACAAGATTGTGTATTGTTGAAGCGTAGATTGTTTTGGTTTACAGTTTTATGTTAACTATAGTTATATTTTGGTAATTTGTAAAGTAGACTACATTTTGTCTTTTGTATTGTTTTGTATTGTAGTCAGTAAATATTTGTGGAAAGGAATACTTATTAAGAATATAAATTTTATTTCCAGTATCATTATTTAAAGTTAAATTTTTTCTCCTCAGAGTGACAAAAAGAGTAGTCCTCAGAAAGAAGTTAAATACGAGCCTTTTTCTTTTGCTGATGGTAAGTGGAAAAAATCATTTCAGTTGAGTTACTATGTGTGTATGTATTGAAGATAAAATTATTGTATTGGCACTTAACCAATATTTTCAGAAAGCACTCTTTAAAAAGAAAGTCAGATTTCTTAAAATATAATGTGTCTTAGACACAGTAAAAATCAGTCTTTTTAGCTTTAGTTATCTGAATAATACCATGCTTCTTAAATTATCTTTTATAAATCCTTAACGTTGATTGAACAGTAGTATCTTAGTGAATTCTAATGATAGAATAGTACTTCTCTAGACTAACCTTCAACTTCTTGCTTGCTACCTAGCTTGAGAAAACACCTGTCTGTTCATTGTCAAATATTGTTGAATTTACATCTTTCTTTAGATATTGGCTCCAATAATTGTGGATACTATGACTTGCAAGCAGTGTTAACACATCAGGGAAGGTCTAGCTCCTCAGGCCATTATGTATCATGGGTAAAAAGGAAACAAGGTAAGGATTCATTTTTTTTTTTCAGTTAACTATTTTAACAGTTTATTTAGTACAAATTTTGTAACACATTGGTTTTTAACTTTTTGGTTTTAGAACCCCTTTACATTCTTTTGAGGTTCACAGAGGTTTTGTTTATGAGGATTCTCCTAATATTTACTGAGAAATTAATTTAGTGAAAACTGACAGTAATAATGTATCGCATAAATCTAAAAAAAATATTTTCCAAAACAAAAAAATAGCAAGAAAAATAGAATTGATTTGTTTTTGTAGGTCTGTTGTGTCTGGCTTAATAGGAGATAGTGGGATCATCCTAACTGTTTCTGCATATTGTCTGTTGCTTTATCACATATCATGTGACTTCTGGAAAATTCCGAAGCACACTTGAGAGAATGAGGGCAAAAAAGGCAAATAATACTTTAAGAATGTTATGAATTTGTGACTTTCATGTTATTGCTGAAAATGATCTTGAACCTGAGTAGTCCCTGGACTACACTTGGAAAACTGCTAGTATGGTAGATGGAATACTACTGTGCCTAAAATTACTTAGTAACTTTCTTGAAACTGAGAAAATCCTATAGGACATTAATTTCATCTTCTTCTCTTGTTCTTTAGATGAATGGATTAAGTTTGATGATGATAAGGTCAGCATCGTGACACCAGAGGATATCTTGCGGCTTTCTGGTGGTGGAGACTGGCATATAGCATATGTTTTACTGTATGGGCCTCGCAGAGTTGAAATCATGGAAGAGGAAAGTGAACAGTAATTTTAGCTATTTATGTTTAGGTGTGAAATAAATGTTACTTGTTGATCATTTCTGTTATCCAGAGCTTTAGAGGAAGCTATTTAGGTGGTTTTATGTGTGTCCCCTTGTGTGGAACAAAAGAGGGTGGAAGCAGACCACTCTGGATCAATTTAAAAAAATTACAGAGTAAAGAAAATTGCCTTTGGACTGTGCTTCCCTGTATAAAGGCTGCAGGAAGATATTTTTAAAAAGCTTATTTCTTGCATTAATTTTTAAAAATTCTGATTTGAAATGCCTTTCAACCATTACCTTCTGTGATAAATTTTTTCTCCCTGCCTTTTCCAGCCCAGGATTCAGCAATCAGATGTTTATTGCACACCTGTTAATCTATTTTTGTTGTTCTTGCATGGTTCAAACCACCAGTGATTCATAGCTGCCCATCCTTTGCCTTATCTAACAAAAATTTTGCCAGGAAGATAGAAAGGAAGTAAGTGTTTTTCTCATTGTGTTACTCAGTGCTGCTGCCCACATCCCATGGAAACATGGGTATAATCAAGTATTTGTCCAGCCTGACTGTTGCTGGCTTTTCATGACTTTAAAATAAATTGTGATCAATAATAGTACATTTGATTATACATTTATTACTGTGTCTCTCTGATGTACTATGGTTTGTATATTTAACTTTGCAATGGTTTTGTAGTAATCACCCTTAAAAAAAAGTTGATAAGCTCTGGTTGCTTATTTTTAGAAAATGAGGATATTTAATAATAATAAAAAAAGGAGAGACTAATAGCTTCTGACCTCAAGTCTTTTGTCTGAGTGTTGGAGCTTGGGTTAAGTTTAGGTATATGTAGTATTAGTTTCTGCAGATGGTTAGTCTTACTCTGTTGTTAAGCATCCGTTTTGAACAGAATATAAAGTTGTAAAAGTAAGAAGAGTTCTTTGGATGCTGAATGCAATGACATTTATTGCTCTTTTCCTTGGCCTAATTTGTATTTTTACTTTCATCTATTCCCAAAGTCTTAATGTCTATCTCAGAATATAATAGCATTGATTTTTAAAGTGATGGTAAAAATACCAAGAGCATGTGGTGTTTCAGTATGGTAGGTGATTGCTAGATGGAAGATAGAAAATTAGCTAATTTGTCTCTGATTTTGAATTAGATATATAAAATGAAGTTTGGGTGAGTATCATGAAATCTCCAGTCTTCACTTAGGCTGTTTTAATGTTCTGCAGAGCACACCACCAGTAACTACTAGTTTCCTAGAGATTGGCCATTTTTCTCTCAACTTTGAACAATGTGATAAAAATCAGAGAATACTAGAGGATAAAATAAACATTTCAGGGAAACTTATTTGTAAATAGCTTCTTCAGCTAAATGGTAATTATTGACAGTCATGATTCCCTTTGCCTTGGGGGAGGGCGCAGAAAAGAATGGGGAGGAGACTGTAGCCATGAGGCTTGTGAGTGCAGTTTTTATTCTCTGTCTTACTTGGTCTGAACAATTTTGAGGACCTAAATTTAGCAATTAGAATTTAGATTTCTGATTTGCAGGATGCTGTAGCTACTTAGATCAGGTAAGGCAGGTTTAGAACAAAGTATGTCTCGTATGGAGTTAGAATTTTAAAACTGTAATTCCTTAAATGTTATAAAAATTAATTTCATTTTATTTGATCCAAATAAGCATTATTCCAAAGATTTTTCTAAGTATAAGAAATTGGGACTTATATCAGTGTTTTAATAAGGCTGTTTTAGAGTTCAGCCTTGCACTCAAGGTCTTAAGGGAGAATAGACCAGAAAATGTCTTGATTCCTGAGCGTGCCTTGTTTGCTGTGCCATAAGGCACTGAGGCCCTTTCAATATGACAGCTATGCCGTATCACTGTTGGACTGTCTAGGAACGTGAAGCCCAAGCAAGAATATTTATGGTGTAATAAGCACTTAGTAACCTTTCAGGATTCAAAACAAACGATTAGTGATGCCCTAATGTTTATGTGAGAAATGGACAGTGGATGGTACTATTTTCCAGCCATTACTACATAGTGCTTTGACGTTTATGGATTACACATCTCCAACTTCACAACAATCCTTGAAGTATAAATCTCTATTTTAAGGACTTAAGAGGTTTTAGACTTTACCTTATTTCTTTTCAAGTTTGAGGTTGGCAGACATTTTCTGTAATGGGTGGGGTGGGTGGTAAATACTTTAGATTTTGCAGGCCATAATCTTTGTTGTGGCTACTTTTAACTCTGCTGTAGCATGAAAGGAGCCGTGGGTCATACTAAAGGAGTCAGCATGGCTGTGTGCTGATACAGTTTTACCTGTAAAAACAAGTGGAAAATGGACCATTGTTTGCTGATCTGCTTTAAAGCACAAATGATTGAGACTAGAGCAGTCGTATATGGTTTCACAAAGTCATTCTGGGATTTTTCAGAATGGCACGTTAAATTTTGTAACTACTAATGGCATGCAGGAAACTAATTTGTCATAGTATATCTTAGGAAACACAATGCTCCCTAAATAGTGCTTACTGACTTCATTATATTTAACAAAAATATTGGACCCTGAGGTCAATTTTGGCCATTTTCCAAACATACTCCCTTCTGAAATCCTGAGGTCAGTTATCAAGAGCCAGTGTGTTCTGTTGATCTTGGAGCACCAGCCAACTGTACAACAACTGTTACAAAAATGTTTATTGTTTACCAAAACCATTGGACCTCTTATCAAATGCTGCTTGGTAACAAAATCTTATCACAGTTTTAATAAAAAAAAAAAAAAAAAAAAAAGAAAGAAGCTAACTATTTGTCTCATTGTCATTAGTTAGACTTTCTGCAAGGTCACTTAATCCGGACTTATTCAGTGCATTCATCAGATTCTCAGGTGTAGCATGTACTCCCTCTTGATCTTGCCAGGCGACTAGTAGCTGCTTAGCTCTCATCTTCATGTCTTCACTGTCACACTCAATCTGTCTAATTTCTGAGTCTTTCATTTCCAAGTAGGGAGCCAGGATCTTCCACTGTTCGCCCAGCTTGTTGGCAAATACTTCTATTTGTTCCCCTGTCACAGGTTTGTCTCGCCGAACATCAGGACCTAGAAAACACAGGAAATGTAAATTATGTACAAAGTATGAGGACATGTACAATTCAAAGTGTACAACAGAACTGGGAAGATAAGGGGCCACTGGAATATTAATCACCTTTCATAAGCTTTATTTTAAAAGTAAAACAATTCCTTCCTATATTTTCCATGGGTTAATACTGTTCTTACAGTCATGATCATTAGGAAATCCATAGTTGTATTTTTTAAAATTTTATTTTAGAGAGAGGGACAGAGAAAAAGGACAAGTGGGGGAGAGGGGCAGAGAGAGAATCTCAAGCAGGCTCAATCCCACAACCCTAGGATCATGACCTGAGCCTAATTCAAGAGTCAGATGCTCAAGGGAGTGAGGCACCCAGGTGCCCCTCAATACTTCTTTTAAAGCTAGAGCTGTTGCCTCTATTGTAATTATGAAGGCCTCCCCTGAAACCAGCTGCTCCCTTCTAACCACCCCTAGGCCCTGTGAAAATTAACAGGTATGGTCACCTTCAAATGTATTTTAATTACAAGTTGTCAAGCAACGTTTAAAATTCCTCACTATAAGAAACAGCTGAGAGATAAATGGTAGAAGTTGAGAAGTAGATCAAATAACGTACCTCTCAACAAAGAACCCCAATCTTTTCCAATTTTGTAAAATAGCCAAGAAAATTCAATTCTTACTTTCATTTTCCTTCAGTAAAGCATCATTATCTTCCTCATCTTCATCCTCACCTGTTTTTATTTCTTCAGAAGGAGGCTAAAATGAGGAAGAAGAATGTTTACAAGAATGCTGACTTGTAAAATAACGGGATACTTTCAGATTAGACAAGAGTGGTTGAGGTTCCAAATAGAGGACCCGGAACTTTATCCTTGAGCGTGTTAAATGGGAATGGCAGGTGAGGATCCCAAATGGGATAGTGTTAACTTGGAGTGGATGGTAAGATCTGAGAATTGGAAAGACTCCCCCTAACCCCAACCTGGGAAGAAGGAAGCCAGTAAAAAGTATAATGATTTGCAAATATCTTATGTATTTCCCAACAGTGAGTTGGGGAAAATTCCTGGGTAGTTTTTCAGTATAGTTATTACCATATTGAAGCAATACAATGAGAAAATTGCATCAGAAAAGAGAACCGAGTAGGAAGATAGGCCAAGATGCCTACTACTACCCTCAGATCCTGTTTGATAAAAGTACAATGGCAAACAGGAAAAATGTCATGTCTGAGTTTACAGGTGGGATGATTATTTAACCAAAGTACTGTGGACTTTAACAAATTTTTATACGTGTAATTTAAGTTACTTTATCAATTTATGTACTTCCTATAAATGTATACTCAAATGCATTTTTCCTTATTCTAGAACATGGAGGTTTGTTTGTAGATCATTATTTTTTTTCCATGTGATAAACTAAATTTAGTTTCTTTGCTCAAATAGTGATAATCGTTTTAGATAACATTACGTAAAGCATATGAAAAAATTGATCTGTATTACTTACTGGTAATTCCTTTGCTAGCTTTATTACCATGTTTTCAAGATATTCGGGCAAACTTTTAAACTGCTGGTTGGTTGGCTGGAAGAAGTGAGGGCTTCTCCGTGCTAGTAGTCTCAGGGCTCTCCAACCATAATTTGAATTGTTCACAGCCCTATGAAAAGAGATATCCGTCGTGACATTTACGTTTTATTTCTATATACCTTCTAGTTAATGTAACTTACCATATGAAATTCTATACTGAAGGCACCATTCTTTTCATTCTGATCTTATTCCTAAAGAACTTCTCAGTATGCAGTTCATTTGTATTACTAGAAACCAGCAGAATCTGATGAGACAGGTTCATATACAGCAAACATATTTGAAAAGTTTATACATATTTTACTTATTCATAAGTCAGTTTGTATATTACTAACTAGATGTTTTATGTGCAGGATAGTAATCATCTAACTATTTAGGAAAAAAAATTTACAATAGGTTTACTGTATTTAGTAAGTTGATACCCATACTGTCAATGGCACCTACAGGTGGGAGTTTCAGAACATCCAATGCTCAATACTAAACTCAGCAAATAAAAATGGCTCCAAAACTAAAAGGGAAACCTCAAATAGCCAGCACAATAAGCAGTGATGCAGGAACAGAATCCATGAACTGTTAGGAAGCAGAGCAGTAGGTGGTACACAGTAAGGTGAGAAATAGAAACCTCAGATTCTAAAGATAATGTTCTAGAAACAGCCAAGCTGTAGAAGAATCTAGAGCACAAATTTGTTCTGTTTGTGAGTTTTTGCAAGTCATTTGGCAGTTTCACCCAAGTTCTTAAGAGTAACAAGCTAGTTATTTAGTCCTCTTATAAATGAGTCTCTACTTTTAACAGGTGCTGGTACTTACAAAGCTACTCCTATACCATGGTCTTGCTAAGTTAATGCCACGCTACAGGGCTCTGCCTGAACACTGAACCAGTCTACTTCTCAGACACATTCCCATTTAAGTAATTTGAATCTTTTATACATTTTCAAAATCCGGCCAGTTATACATACAAACTTTCTTATTCTACAGAAATCCATACA